AAATTACTGTTAATGATTTTAGAGTATATCTCACTTTTTTTAAATACTCAATAAAATTTAAGATTATTCAGAAATTAGATTAGTTTGGAAATAGTCATGAGGAGTTGAGGAACTTCAATGAACTGCAGATGACACAAAAAAAAAAAAAAACGGCCATGTGAGTACTGTATATTTTTATTTTTAGTGTTGTTAATTTTTTCATTTCCATTGTGGGCAGATTTTTTGCATGAAGCATGTGCATGCTATTTATTTTTATATGTATACAGCGGCTGCCTCCTCTCACAATCAATTATATTGCTTATTTATCAGTTTATAAAAGTGAAAAATTAAGAGAATTTCTTTAAGATTTTTTTTTGTCAGATCTGGTTAGTGTTTGTACAATAATTCAATTAATTTCTAATACATAAAATAAATATGCTACTAGTTGAGGTTTAATTTTTATTATTGAGTATATTTCAATTGATATTTTTATTTCTCACCAAGTCGTTAAAAATTTAGTATTAACAAATTAAATTATGTTTATTTTGTAATAAGTTTATTATTTCAATGTGAGAGGTTCGGCAGATTTCAGGATTTTCAGTCTCCAGCTACCAACTCTACTCACCACACACAATTTTTCTTATTAAATATTTAAAAAAATTAATTCTTTATATTAAAATAATTAAGTCAATAAGGGAATATCATTATTATATTTTATTTCAGAATTTCGATAAGTATACATTTTTTAAATTGAAAATATTAATATTTGCCAAAAATTAAAATAATTTAATTCAGACTGAGAAATTACTTAAATTAATAAATCTATTTCTGATAAATATCTATTATTTTTTTTTTCATTATATTTGCTATTATTTTCAAATTATAAAGTTATTCAGACATTTGGTAGGTACACTTATGAGTGAGTTGGAGAACTTCCTTGAATCGTCAATAAAAACATGTGAGTACTATTGCATGCCTTCTTATTGCCATTTTTATGATAACGTGTATTTATAATGTATGTTCTGTTTAAAATCTCAAAACCCCTCAATAGTGAGTGATATAACAATTGAAGGGGTATTTGGGGCTCATTAATTTCATTTTCAGCTCATAATCTATTTTAACGTTTCCTTTTCGTTACGGACTATTACAAATATAATTTAAATGTAAATGTTTTTATTATTTCTAGATAATAGTTTCGGCAGCTGTCTTTGCTTCAGTAGGGTTGTTCTGTCTATCTTGTTCGTTTTCTTTATTTATCAGAAAAAAATAGATCTTTTTGTAGTACACACTACCACAATCTGCACTACACTGTCTTATGATAATACGAATTTATATATATTTAATTAATTTATTTAATATATTTTTAGAATGGGGGGTATGTTCTGTTAAGAATGCTTTGTTAGTATTATTATTCTCAAAACCCCTTAATAGTCATAGAACAATTGAAGGGGTGTTTGGGACTCATTGATTTCATTCTCTGCTTATAATCTATTTTCAATATCTGCTAAGTAAATAAAATGATGAGGCACCTGTGGTGCATTTTAATAATTTATTTTCGATAATTTACTTGTAAATAAATATTGTACATTATATATAATTCCCGCAAGGGGTGTCTGTTGCATGTAGGCACTTGGGGAGCAGCGCCCTCACGGGTTACCCCAGCTCAGTACACCATGCAAACTCGACAGAACAGTACACCACAAAAAAAACAAAGACGCTGACACGAGCACATGTACAGTACACAGCTTTGCATTTATATTTCCTAAGAATCAACTCTGGATGGGGTAGTGACTCCAGAGGCCATGAAGTTGCTGCCCTACCACCGGAACCATTTGTTTGGTACTCCTATTTCTTCCTTTCTCCTTAAGAAAGAACTAACATCCTTTCCACTCCATAAACACAAGAACCCAACCATCGGATCGGGTCTACCCGTTGCATACATCCCTAAATATCCCTTGCAGAAACACTCTTTCTTCAACTATTACCCTCTTCATAGGTCTCTCCAATTCTTCCTAGTGGTTTCACAGACCTAAGAAGTCATAAGGAAAGCAGTATTCAGAATTACTGTAATTAATTCCTATTTTTCTGTTTTTAGGTCTTCTTGATCATCTTAGCTGTCCCAGCCACCGAATGAGACGGATGCAGTTTTACTCTGCTTAAATACTATTTTTCTCTCCTGAGGTCTTCTGGATCATCGCAGTTGATCCAGCCTCTTAACCAGGAGCATTAAGTTTTACTCTACTTAATTACTATTTTTCTGTTTTTAGGTCTTCTCGATCATCTTAGTCGTTCCAGAAACCCAATCAGCAGGATGCAGTATTACTCTAATTAATTACGATTTTTCTCTCCTTAGGTCTTCTCGATCATCTTAGTAGAAACAGCCATCGAACCAGCAGGAGGTAGTTTTACTCTAATTAATTACTATTTTTGTCTCCTTAGGTCTTCTCGATCATCTTAGTTGTTCCATACATTGAACCAGCAAGGATGCAGTTATACTCTACTTAAATAACTTTTTTTCTTTCCTTAGGACTTCTTGATCATCTTAGTTGTTCCAGATATTGAACCAGCGAGTATGCAGTATTACTGTAATCAATTACTATTTTTGTCTCCTTAGGTGTTCTCGATCATCTGAGTTGTTCCAGCCATAGAACCATCAAGGATGCAGTTATACTCTACTTACTTACTATTTTTCTGTCCTCAGGTCTTCTAGATCATCTTAGTAGTTCCAGCGAACGAACCAGCTTATGGCAGTTCTATTTTAATTAATTACTATTTTTCTCTCCTCAGGTCTTCTAGATCATCTTAGTTGTTCCAGCCATCGAACCAGCAGGAGGCAGTTTTACTCTAATTAATTAATATTTTTCTCTATGTAGGTCTTCTAGATCATCTTAGTTGTTCCAGCCATAGAACCATCAAGGATTCAGTTATACTCTACTTAAATAACTTTTTTTCTTTCCTTAGGACTTCTTGATCATCTTAGTTGTTCCAGACATTGAACCAGCAAGGATGCAGTATTACTCTAATTTATTACTATTTTTCTCTCCTCAGGTCTTCTAGATCATCGCATTTGATCCAGCCATTGAACCATCAAGGATGTAGTATTGCTCTAATTATTTACTATTTTTCTCTCCTTAGGACTTCTTGATCATTCTAGTTGTTCTAGTCATTGAACCAGCAGGAGGCAGTATTACTCTAATTAATTACTATTTTTGTCTCCTTAGGTGTTCTCGATCATCTTAGTAGTTCCATACATTGAACCAGCAAGGATGCAGTTATACTCTACTTAAATAACTTTTTTTTCTCTCCTCAGGACTTCTTGATCATCGCAGTTGATCCAGCCATTGAACCAGCAAGGATGCAGTTATACTCTACTTAAATAACTTTTTTTTTCCTTAGGACTTCTTGATCATCTTAGTTGTTTCAGCCAATGACCCAGCATGATGCAGTATTACTCTAATTAATTACTATTTTTATCTCCACAGGTCTTCTTTTAGTCTATACTGACCTTGCTTGGCAGACGTTTTTCTTTACAACATAGTCGTGGTTATTGATGGTCGTTCTGGTGCTTATGACAAATAATAAGACCAGGTATTTGCTCCACCAGATCCTGACTGTTTGTCATTAACAAGCCTGTTCTTATACCTTACGATCAATGTTGATGTTATTAACTTCTCCATATGGAATACTTTGGGAACTGAAATAGAAAATTATATCATTTATGAAATATTGCATCACGACTTATTATTATTATACTATTGTTTAATATTTCCCAATGACACTGCACCCTCTATTTATACCTTGTTCATTTTTGTCCAAGTGAAAGGTGAGATAAATTAATATGTGAAAATATAAGACAAGTTACTTGTTTGAAAAAAAAGGGGATAAAGACTGAAATAAAATTGCAAATCAAATCATATTAAAAATGAACATGAATAAAAAATAGAATCAATGCATAGATAAAACCAATATTGAATTTACATGTTTGAATGAAATATTTTTATATTTGACTTCTTCTTTCATATAATTACTATGAAGAAGTTTTTTAAACAATGCCATTGCCTTGATTAGATGGATTTTAAATATTTTTTTTTTCAAACTTGAAAAACAATTATTTCTGAAGATTCATTTTCGATCTGGATAAGCATTTTTCTTTTTATCTCCTTTATTCAATTATCAATTATTTTTTTTAAAGTTATATTTAGTAGTAACTCTTAATACCAGTGATGCGGCTGGGAGAGAAGCACTGGGATCTCCTGAGGTCCTGCCTTGGCTTCCACATTTGGGGGACAAAGCATGACTCGTAATCCTCTGGGCGAATGTAAATATTGTATATAGGTGTGAATGTGTTTTATATATTTCAATTTCATTTAGTTTCTCTCTCTCTCTCTTTTTTTTTTTTTTTTACCTATGTATGTTAATTTTCTTTTATCTCTATTTTAGTTATCATTTGTATGTATATATTGTGTGAATGTTTAATGTAGCCCTAATATTAATACCCTCCAATGCGGCAGAATAATGAGAGATAGTTAATTATTTAAAATAAACCAAATTAAAGGTACTTTAGAGAAAGGTATGTTGAACATGTAAGCCCTGTAAATTAACATCAATGTAGATAAGACCTAGCTGATATTAAAAAAAATTAATAATACAATAATATACTGAGTTTAATCAAAATCGTTAGAGCCGTTTGCGAGAAAATCGTAAAAATATGTATCATCCTTTATATAAAATAGCACTTCCGATTAGCCGATTTTAACGAAAAAATTACTGTCACATCCGAGCCACATATAAACTTTAAATATGCAATTCCAGTTTCGTTTTTGAGTAAGGATGATCACACACACTCATAGACCATTTTGCGGAAGTTGGTTATTTGGACTCAGGGGACTCCAAAACGTGTATTTCCGTTGAAAACTCAGATTCGAAAATTTTCACGATCGCAACACTTACCCTTATTATATAATCCATAGGTAAGTGAAAGTGATAAATAAGGTTATTTTTCTTTTTAAACACATGATTATAGATATTGTATTTCTAAGCAGATAAGATTCAAGGAGTGATATTTCTTCGCAATAAAAGAGTGCCAATGGATACTTCGGAGTAAGTACTACAGAAAGAAAATCTACTAAGTTCTGTTGGGTGTTATTCCAATGTGTACAAGAATTTTCCGATCTCGATGAATAAAATAAGATTACATAGCATCGATGACCACTAGCGGATCCAGGATTTCATTTGGGGGGGGGCTTTAGCCCGAAAGTTTTTTTTTTCATAAAAATAACGATAATTACGGAAAAAAAGAAAGAAACTAACTACCTATATGAAATGGTGTTTAAGTGATTCCTAAAGCCTTTTTAAATGTAATTACACGAGCAGTAATACTTTAAGAGATACTTTTTTAATATTTTTTTTTCGATAAAACATGGTTATATCTTACCATTTTGGGGGGGACTTCAGCCCGAAATCCCTCCCCCGTAGATCTGCCCGTGTCGATTACTGACTGATATTAAAACAAGGTTGTACCTAAATAGTCCGTGGTACAGAACCCTTTCTATCGAATTATTAACATCCGCCTGGAACTTCGTAAATAGCTTCATCTCATCGTAACCTACAACTATTCTATTTACGAAAACTCTTGGAATTGGGGCGTTTTCAATCTGGAGGGGGAGGGGATAAACTTTGTCTATTTAATTAGATAATAAAAACTCGTAAATACTCATTTGCTTTCTACTTAGATCGTGAGATAATTTGAGCACAAAATCGTGAAAAAATGTGGTCTTCAGAAATATTGAGCCGTTTGGCGAGATCTGCACCCCCAAATAGTCAAAATAACAAGGTTATATAGGATAAATGGTACAATCATTTTTGTACGCTAACTTTTTTATCTATTTAGTGATCAAATTATCTTACGATCCAAGAAGAAAGCAAATGGGTATTTACGAGTTTTAGTACCTGATTAAATAGACCAAGTTTGTCTCCCTCCATACTTTTTTGTCTTTTCAATCTGGAGATTGGCAAACTTTCTCAATCCCATTGGGTACTGTAAATTCATGAAAACCAACTTGCTTCCTACTTGAATCATAAGATAATTTAACCACAAAATCGAGACAAAAGGTGGTCTACAAAAATATTGGGCAGTTTGTATTAACCTTCTTCTTCTCTTCTATCTTTCGGTGTAGAGCTTTTTGTACAAGGATTTCCATCCGTATCTGGCTTCTGGCATTAGCGGATCCAGGATTTAATTTTTTTGGGGGAGGGGCTTCAACCCGAAAGATTTTTTTTCATATATATAACGATAATTAATTTGAAAAAAAGAAAAGAAAGATACTAACTACCTAAATGAAATGGTGTTTAAGTGATTTTTGAAGTCCTAATTAATGTAATTACACGAACAATAATACTTTAAGAGATAGATTTAATATTTTTTTCTGTGAAACATGGTTATATTTTATCGTTTTGGGGGGGGAGGGGAGAGCTTCAGCCCGAAAGCCCCCCCCCCCCCGTAAATCCGCATGTGGTGTAGATTTTTTTGTACAAGGATCCATAACCATAGGTACAACCATCCATCTCTGGTTTCCGGCCATCGAATTCCTCTGTCTTTAAGAATATTGTTGAGGTTATCTTCTCAAGCACTAGCAGATCCAGGATTTAATTTTTTGGGGGGGCTTCAGCCCGAAAGCTTTTTTTTTTTCATAAAAGTGACGATAATTACTTTGGAAAAAAAGAAACTAACTACCTATATGAAATGGTGTTTAAGTGATTCCTAAAGCCCTTTTAAATGTAATTACATGAGCAGTAATACTTTAAGAGATACTTTTTTAATATATTTTTCCATAAAACATGGTTATATTTTACCATTTTGGGGGATCCGTAGATCCGTCTGTGTTCTCAAGTAATTCTGTCTTCCTCTAGGTCGTTTTCCTCCTGGTCTGGCCTCCATAATTTTCTTTGCTGAACAGCTGTCATACGGATTGGCTTAAAACCTCCATTCCCAAAATGTTAAAATAACAATGTTATTTAGGCTAAACGGCCCAATATTTTTGTAGACTACCCTTTTTGTAGGTTAAAGTAAGATGAAGCCATTTATGTAGTTTTAGGAGGAAGTTAATAATTTTATAAAAAGGGGTCAGTAGTACCATGGAATATTGCTTAAAATAAGAGTTAGCATCCCGGTACCAGGAGAGTTTTTAACTTTGGCATTAATCTCCCACACTCTCCTTTGGCAATGAAAATCCTGGTATAGGTGAAATGAAGAGCAAGGGGTGGAATAAAAAACAAAAAAATTAATGTTGCTATGGTGTCCCCTTAAGATTCTCAGACATCACAGCCTCAGTATTTCACAGAATGACTTCTTTGAGTCCAAACTCAACACGAGCCATTTTTTTCTTATTACTATTTTATTACTTGTACAAACCTTTTTTTATTTTATTGAGATATACAATTGTATTAATTGATAAACACAAAAAGTAAAATGACATGTAATACATGAAGAGAAACTAGCCATTGTTAGAACTCCAATTATATTTCTATATTAGAAGGTCCCGAGGGCATCTTTTTTTCAGACGCCTCGGAGGGTTATGAAGAATAGAAGAGTAAGAAAGGTTGGAAACAAGAGGATTCGGATGGTTCAGAAGTTTATTATGGCAGAATAGGTATCTGGATTGAGCTAAATCGGAAACATATGGTACATTAAGGATTTTGGATTGTAAGAATTGGATATGAGAGGAATTTGATTGTTTAGCAGAGCCCCAAATCTCGATCCCATAAGTCCAAATAGGCCTTATTATAGTAATTTATATGAGTCTTTTGTAAATAGTTGGAAGTTTAGAACGCTTGTCAAGTAAGTGCTGCAGTAGTTGTACAAACATAAGTTTTAAATTTTAAAGCCCCTATTTTAAATTTTGTGATGTGTTCCTTATGTTAAAATGTTAGTTATTCTAATGAAGGAAATCAGGCTCCTGTTTAAATTAATTTTTTGTTATATTTCCAAAAAAATTTCACCCCCACAAGTCCTAAAATATATATATCTTTCTTTCTTTTTTTTTTTTGGTTGGCGCTGCAGATCATGAAGATCTTTTTCCGCGGAATGTGGTCTCCTAGACCACATCCTGATTCCTGACTTAAGAACATGGGGGTAGGGTCATCAATCCTACGCCCGGTCGGTGTGAGTTGCCTCCAATACCCGGTGGGAAGAGGGGTATCTCGGGCAGCATGGCTTTCTCTGGTGGGAGGTCACCCATCAAAATGCTAACGACTCTCGGTGTTGCTTAACTTGGTTAAGAATATATATATATATTAAACTTAATTTTAAATGAAACTTGAATAATTTTATTGAATAATAAAACCGCTAATATTATCAATTTAAATATTTATCATTGCAATGTATACATGTACAGGGTGTTTCGTCATTGCACAGCAGTATTTTAGGTATGTGTTCACTAACACAAAATGAACAAAAAAGTTCATATTAAAATATATCTCAAACTAATTTATTAAACAGATATCAAAGGTTAAAGATTTATTATTACTATTTATAAATTATTATTACAACATTTAGAGTAACTGTTCAAAGGGGCCTCCGTTTTGTTGAATGCAACATTCAGCACGACGAATCCATGCTTCTCTGGCTCTTCTTTTAACATCAGGATGGTGCTTGATAGTTACTGCGGCTTCCACGATCCGATTTCTTAGCTCTTCTTGTGTGCCAACTGCCGCAGAACAAACCATAGACTTCATCCAGCCATACACAAAATAATCTAACGGCATTAAATCCAGAGATCATGGTGGAGATTTAACAGGTCCGTTTCGACCAACCCATCGGTCTCCACAAGTTGCATTTAAATCATCAGTGACACTATTGGAAAAGTGAGCTGGAGCAACATCATGCATAAACCACAACCTTTGCCTAATGCCTAGCGGAATATCTTCTAGGAGTTCATGAAGATTATTTTGCAAAAAATGCAAGATATACTTGACAGCTTTGGTGGCAAAATGAAGGGGCCGATGATGTAGTTTAGAAGACCACACCAGACATTTAAAGAAACGGAATGTTGGTCATGTCCAACAGCAATATGAGGGTTTTCTTCAGCCCAAGTATGGGTATTTCGAAAATTAAGAATCCCGTTTCTTGTAAAGCAAGATTCATCAGTAACCAAAATGCATTTCGGGAAGTTAGGATCTCTTGTGCATTGTCGAATTAACCACAGAGAGAAATTTCTGCGCTTGTTATAATCTTTTCTACTCGATACGTGAAATGAATACAATTGTTGTTCGTGTAAAGTTTTCCATAAGCTGGTAGAAGAAACATCGAAACGACGTAACAATCTTCTGGTACTAGCATTAGGAGATAACTGAACAGCATCGAGTATTTTTTCTTCAACGTTTGCAGTTCGTCCAAATCTTTGTCGACCTGCGTTTACTCGTATAGGTTTTAGAGTGTCATTATCCCTAAGGTGTCTTTCAATGATCTCAAACGTTTTACAATTTGGTATTCTTTGCTTAGAAAATTTTTCACAATATCTTCGAACAGCAGCAGCACCGTTTCTATGTACCTCGCCCCAAGTTAAAAGCATGTCTGTTTGTTCTGCAAAAATGAATTGAACTGTGTCACAGTTACTCACACTAAAACACACAGAACTAGACAAATAGATGGGCAACTACTGTCATTGCTTATCCTTCATTTGTTTATCATGTGATTAAAACCTGTTATTTATTATTAAACATGTTAAACTTTGAACAGTCAGTCTTAATGTAGTAAATAAATAATAAATCTTTAACCTTTGATATCTGTTTAATAAATGAGTGAGTTGGAGATATATGTTAATACGAACTTTTTTGTTTATTTTGTGTTAGTGAACACATACCTAAAATAGTGCTGTGCAATTAGGAAACACCCTGTATATATATATTATAATTATGTGATTATTAGTATTTATTTTTAATTTCAGAGTGGAACCAAAGTCATCACTAGCCCCTATTTTAAATTACTCAACAAGCAGTGATGTATCTTCCATTATCGTTACAGGAAACATGGGTAAGTATCTATCTGAGTTTTATTCTTATTCACATTTAACAAACATGTACCAGTATTCCATTGACTTATAGTGACCATTCATTATATTTATCAAATTTAATCAATTACAGGTAGAAGATTATCTCTACTTGAAAACATATCAATAGAAAATGAAACTATACTTTCGAAATGTACAAATGAATCCACTGATGATATGAGAGAACATAACATTTGGAGATTTGATAAGGTCGACAGAAAATCACCATTAATAGCATACAATGGAAACAGCATAGAAGATTTGTCATTTATTTACGATAAAAATTTTGAATTAAATTCAGAACTTGAAGACATAATTTCATTTGAAAATTCTGACTTGAGTATTCTGATGAAATCGAGAAATTCTGCAATATTAAGAAAAGATATTTTTAAGCATTTCTATAAGCTCAATGTTCTTCCTTTAATAAGCCAGAATGAAACATTAAACGATACACAGAATAATTTAACGTTACCTTCACAAAAAAAGAACTCTAATAACTTTATCAAAGAAAAATTCCATGTTCCTTTAACAAAACTAGAAAACAGTCATTCAACAAAATTTAGCTCATTCAATCAAGGCAATAAAACTTTAATTGAAAATACTACAGACCTTATCAATAGATCAAAGGAATCTGAAGAAAATTCAATTATTTCACCTAGTTTTGAAAATGAAAAATCTCATGACAGATATACAAATGAAAAGAAAAATTTATACCAGAATAACTCAAATTATAACATTGAATTGTCTTGTACATATTACGATATGAAAAGTAGCAAGAAAAATATTTTAAGAAACAAATTAAAACACTGTGAGTTAAAATTATTTGACTATTTGATAGAACAAGAAACGTACGATGGTAAACAAATTGAAAAAAATGAATTAATAGATAAGGTTTTCAACAATAATTCGACAAAAGAAATAGAAAGTGTTACTGGTTTATGTAATAAAGAAAATAGGTTAAAAGCAGAAAATGGTAACATTAATAATTCTATAAGTGAAAAAGATAATTTCGGGCATAATTTATTTAAAAATAGACTAATCACAGGAAATAACGAGGAGAGTGTTAGAGAATTTATTAATTATTTTAGAAAATATAACTCACTCGGTTATGAATTTGATAAATCAAATTTATACCAGTACACAGATGATTCTCTATACGAATCCATAAACGAACTATCAAATAAGGAAAAAATTAACATAAAATATGGTAAGGATGAAAATGATGAAAACAATATAAGTAAGTATCAAACATTTTTGGAAGACAGTAATTTACATGAAGAAAAAACTAAAATAAAATTAGATACAAATGAAAAATCAATTAAAAGGAACAACAAAGACAATGAAAAAAATCATAGCATATATTCAAAGTTTGGTAATTGTAACAAATTAAAATTTGATGTTGAAACCATAGTAGGAAAAATATCAGAAATAAAGAAAATTTCTCCTAATGACAATAATAAAATTAAAGACATAAGAAGTTCTACAACATCATATGAATCAGACGATTCATTAAACTTAGAATACAATAAAACTATTCATATCTCAGACAGGGTTTCATCCAGGTTAAGAAATATGCACATGTCTAAACCTAAATCTACAAAAAGTAAAGTATCACCAAAACGAATAACTGAAGAAGATATTAAGAAAGTCGTTCATAATATTACTTTAACTCCAATGAGCTCTAAAGATAATCTAAGAATAAATAACAGAAGTAATAGGAACAGATTAAGGGAATTTCCTCAAAACATAAAATATAAAAATAAAACAAAAACATATTTGAAAACAGCTGATATTAGAAAGTTTATTTGGTCTAAGTTACTACCTTGTTCATCAAAAACTAATACTTTGCTCGACTGTGAGGATGTTATTCAGAAAGTGAATATTGCAGTCAAAAATGCTCAATCGAAAAAAGCTAATATGAATACTATTATAATGACATTGCAAGAACTATTATATGAAAAAAATATATGTAAAACTTATATCGAGTTTTACACATTTATAAGCAACTTTACACCTTTTTCTTTTCAAAAAAATATAATGCCACTAAGTGGAGCGTTTGGATGTAACGGCCCAAAAATAACAAAAAAATTATCTGATCCGCTCAGATAGTATTACTAAAAGTTCACAGCAAAACGATTTGTATAATATATCATTAATAGTCTATGGTACAGGCCCCTTTTTATCAAATTATTAACATTCGGTTGAAACTTCTTAAATAACTTCATCTCATCGTAACCTACAAATATTTTATTACAAAAATTCTGGGAATTGCAGCATTTTCAATCTTGGTTTGCAAACTTTATCTATTTAAGTAGGTACTCATATTCATTTGCTTTCCACTTGAATCGTAACATGAGCAAAAAGTCGATAAAAAGGTGGCCTTCAAAAATATTGAGCTGTTTGGCATGAACTACACTCCCAAATTGTCAAAATAACAAGGTTATATAGGCCAAATGACCCAATCGATAGGCCATCTTTTTTATCGATTTTGCGACCAAATTATCTTATGATCCAAGTGGAAAGAAAATCGATATTTACGAGTTTTTAATATCTGTTCAAATAGACAAAGTTTGCCGACCTCCAGATTGAAAAAGCCACAGTTCCCAGAATATTTTCATACAAAATATTTGTAGGGTTACGATGAGATGAAGTCATTTACAAAGTTTCCGACGGATGTTAATAATCTGATAAATGGGGCTGTAACACGGACCATAATGATAAACTCATACAATAATTTGTAATCTGAAAACTGTTGTTTTTACTGTGCATGTATATATATATTTTTTCATACTAAATAAAGAACAATATAAAAACTTGAATTTATGTCATCTAACATATTCATAATATTTACTGCTCATTATTTATAGTCATCGCTATTTCAATATTTATTGTTCAGACATTCCACAACACTCAGAAATTTTATTGGCTACATTTGCTGATGAAGACTACTAAATGAATACTAACATCAGACATAGATGCAGCTAAGGCTTCTCAGGCACTCCAAGAACGCCTAGACGAGATAGCTTATGCTAAAAGATGGAGGGTAAAAAAGAATAAGTCCATCAGCCAATTCGTTTCATTTACACTTCGACATGACTCTTGTCTTCAATTTTTTTTTAGCAATATCACTATACCAAATTCAAAAACAATACACAATTTGGGTCTCTACTTGGAAAATAACTGACATGCACATACTACATAAAACGGAAAAGAAAAGAATTTAATCAGCGATACAGGCTTCTTTCTAAGCTATTTGACAGATGTTCTAAACTATTAGTGACTATTTAATAATTTCTCATAAAATCGCTTTGGATATATGATATCAGGTTATGAAGAGTAGAGGAGCAAAGACAACAAATATAAAAAGAGTTTAATAGTTCCAGTCACGAGTTTCTAATCTTACATTACACACTGACCTTGACATTCCTTTTATCACAGAAACTACCACACACCTAGGGATGGACAATAGTCGATTGTACTATGAATATATCGATAGTTTAAAACTGTCGATAGCCCCAAGCTATCGATACTTCGTATTCTTCCTTTTGACACAAATTATTTTAAAATTTTATATACTTAAAGAAATAATGTTAATAAGACGCCTTCATACTTCTGCCCATTCATTGATGTAGGAGATATAGTGATCATATAAAAATGTAAATATTAAATGTTTTATAATGAAAAATTGTTATTGTCTTACACAAAACGGCACATTAAGAAAATAAATGGATGAAGATGATGTAAAGGCGCATTTAAAGCTATTCTTATCAATCTTTAAAACTGAAACAAAACAAGAAGAAGCCTTCATGATAGAAATTAATTTAATCTGAAATTACATTCTTAGAGATATTAATACACTTCAGTTGTGCCGATGGAAAAAAAAAGTTACATTCACCTCACCTTTTTTATTTATTTTTTCATAAAAAAAATATATTTATAAAATCTACTAGGATGCCATTACAGTTTTATTATATTTTAAACTAAGTGCTTTTATCAAAATAAATTTAGAAAATTAAAATCTTGGAAATTAAAAGATATAAGAATTTCTCACCTCCTTTTTTTACTAAATAATTAAAAAAATACAACCTATATGCCATCAATGTTTCTTGTTTGAATTCTATAATCAGGCAAATAAATGCAATCTATTGGTTTATTATTTTCAATAATCAACCATTGTGATCGACCAAAAAATTCAAAAACTTAACCCCCTCTCAAAATTTGAGGTTTCACGTTTCAGGATGCGTAGAATTCGAAAAAGGAATAAAAATTTTTTTGTCCGTCCACACATTTTCTCTGAACTACTGAACTGATTTTTTTCAAATTTTGATATAAAATCAGAGGTCACCTGAGGATGATCCTCCTTCATTGACATTACTATCCGCCTTTTACTTTCAAATTGGCAGCCGAAAAATTTGCATTGCTATAGACTGTAGCACCTAAACAAATGTAGCGATTTCAATGAAACTTGCTAAAGTAATTTTCTCTATGCCCTTTAAATTTATCTATACAACATAAAGAAGCTGGAAAAAAAGTCACGAGGGATAGTAAAATTTAATTCCGAATAACTCAAAAAGTATACACTTTTTGGGGAATGTTGTATATAGGTTTTTAAAAGTTTACAAAATTTTCTAAAAACAAAAAAAAAAAAAGTTTAAAATCGGACAATTACAAGCAAAGATATGGTCTCCGGTTTTTTTTTTTTTATATGTTCTACTCCAAATGTTATATCCTTTGTTTGGTTTTTAAATTTTGAATGTGTTACTGAAGTAATGCTATTTTTTTTTTTTAGGATATTACTAATGATTAAGAAAAAAAAAGTTTAGTCCAATAATTAGAATCCGCTTTTATTTATTTTACTTTGTAACTAGAAGGTAATGTTACTTTAGATGTATAATTGTTTGGAAATAATAAACCATTGTGGAATTTGCAGCATTTTTTCTATATAAAAGTATTTCCCCGTCAATAATTTTTTAATTATTTCTTTAATAACTTTAATTAGTGCCTTAACATAAATCTTTAAGGATATATCCAATATAAAGTTTATTTATTATAAAGTTTATGCAATATTCTAAAATAAATAACTAAAGAGTACAGCGAAAATAAATTGTTTTAAGTTTGTGTCGGGAAGCTACTGAACTATCGATAGTGAAGAACTATTAACTGTCGCCCATCCACACAAACACCGTTTTAATTCATGACAGACTGACTCTAAATTCAAATCCACTTGCTCAATTTCTACTGCCACAAATCCGTATGCTCCACCCGGAAGACTGCACTTAGTTACTCGCTGTATTATTGTTATTTTATTTTTCTTAGTTTAGTATTGTAATTTACTTTGGTACTTGTCTAGAATCCGGTGGGGATAGACTGCTATCTACTAATGTTTATAATCTGAAAACTGATAATTCTGATAAGGCAGTGATAATCTCTATCTTCGTATTCATATTTATGGAATTCAAAAACACAAAAATAAATGTAATAATAAAAAAAACACTTTTATTCTACAACATATTGTAGTAGACATTCCCCTGTATTTACTCCTTTAGACGACATTGTGTGAGGGAATGAGATGGAATATATAATATATAGGAATGTGAGGTTGCACTGTGAATTGTAATCAATTGTGCAGTGGACAAATTGCTCATTGGAAAATCTCATATCGATAAACAATCGAAAAGAAGAAAAAAGGTCCGATCAGGTAGCTAGCAGCAGCTGGAAGAGGACGCCAGGCACTTGAGGCAAAAGGACGGAAGCGAGAGGAAGTCATCTGGGAAGAGAGGCTTACTACATTGAAGACCAAGAATATCAAGGCTACAGTTATAAGACTTTTATACATTCATTGATTACAGTTATAAAATAAATTGTTTTATTATACAGGAGTGAAAGTCATTTTATTTAGTTGTCCTACATGCCTCACAACTGAAGAATAACAAATCCGGTGAGTCAATTCATTCAAAGTGTGTTTACTAAGTCCCACATTTCATATATATATTCTTATTGTTTCTTCTCATTCAGTGTCACAAAAGGTATTAGATTCCCGAATTCCCAACAACAGTTAAACACCCTCAAAAAGTCGATATCCAGTGCCGGGGTTTTGTTTTAATAACTGACGAGTGTAAATAACCTTAAGCCCCGATATAAAAGCGGAAGGCTATTCGCTATTCCTGCCAAAACATCTTTATTTTATATTTAACTTTCAGTAGGTTATTTACAATATATATGAAATAGACAAAAATAAATGCCATATTTATGGAAATTGAAACCCTTCTCTTAGAGAGAAGTGTTGACTAGACTCTCTCTAAAAGAAGGATCCACAATGAAATTAAGAGATTTTTAAATATAAAAATGACAAGTCTTATGATAAATTGAGATGATATAAAGATAATAAAATAGTCTGAAGATAGGACAAAATAAATCCTGAAACGTCACAAATAAATTAATAAAATTAATTTATGGGAGAGAAAAACTATTTAGATTTTCATATATTCATATTCATCATATAGAAATAGAAAATCATCTTTATTTATTATGTATATATATATATATATATATATATTGTAACATCCCTGTTATATTTTAAAATAATAATAGTAATATAATCTCAGAAGATCACTTTATACCCTTAGGATACTTCAAAAAGAAATAAGAGGTTGTTAAATAAAAAACAAAATTATAAGAGTATTATTATATTTATTTATCTCGGTTGTGGGTTACTGACAATCAGATCAACTCAGACAAACTATTATTATTTACACTATTTATACTAAAATTAAACATTGATTTTAAAAAAAGTCAAGTATGGATTGGCAAGTTAACCTTTTTTATATATACACTGTTTCTTCCTTTGTTGCACTAAATTCATTTGTCTTCAAATGCTTTCCAATGTTCTGCCAAACACAATGTCCAAAATGGTGACACTATTCTAGGTTTTACCCATTGGAGCTAGGATAGGATATCTTCTCTTAACCTCTCTTCACTGCAGTCACACCACAACTGTTGCCAAAACAAAAACCTTTGTCCCTCTCCTCTTTGGGATTTTCCTTCTTGAGAAACTACAGAGCAGCCATTTTCTTTTCCCAGCACTAGTAGAACTACATTAGCTTGCCTTTTAATTGTTCAACATTACTTTATTAAACCCTTTTTACTCGCTTTCAATAAAGGTGTACATTACAATATATATAAGATATGCCTCATTTAAGAAGAGTTTTAATTGTGGGTTGATGGTCGACTGTAGTGGATAATAAAGAAAAGAATAGTTGGGATGATCAGTAAAAATAAAAATGGCAAAAATAAATAATAATATTTATTTTAACATTTTTCGACGCGAAGTTCAGGCCTTATCGAAGAGATCGCTATGGATAGAATGTAAGGAGATTTTTAGTGAAAGAGTGGAACAACATCCAACACGAAGATGTAAGGAACTTGGTCGGTGGAATGAATAGGAGAATGCTGGCAGGACCTGGCAGTGATCAGGTCTAGAGGGAGAAACACCTACTGATTTCATTCAATAATTTGTTTTTTTTCTTTTTCGTTTTTTCAAACAAAAAAATGCATTTTCTACTTCATTTCTTGATTTATCTGCTCTTTTAATACACTATTCTATCATACTCAAAAGGAATCCTTTTAAAAATGTCCATTAAAATTTGGTAAAATTGAAATATGGAAGTAATCCTTTAATTTTGTCTGGCAGTGTACTTTAAATTGATCTTAAATAAAATAAAAAACACCAAACCTCAAAAAATATGTATAATAGTAAATACATAAATATGTACAGGAATATTTAACGTAGATATTTTCATCGATGCACGTTGAAACAGTAATCCCATTGGTGTAAGTTTTCTGGCAAATCAGTAATTCTCACCATTGCTGAATGTTGTTTGACTTCCTCATTATCTTTCACAGTTATTATTATTCTTATTGCCTTGAGAAATATAATAAAAACAATTATTTATAACATTGAAATCATTTATAATTATTATCTTAATAAAATATATTAATTTTTAAGTTATGTTTTTGCATTGACTTATTATTTAAAGTTTACTCTTTAAGAATTTATGAACTAGTATACCTATAAAATATAACATTAAATATTTATATATCCTTCTTTTCCCTAATGCATCCAAAATATAAGCACTATTTAAAGAAACATGTTTATTTGTATAACAATATAACATTATCTAGAAATTATATTCATCACATACATTCTATGTTTCCTTAATAATGACTAAGTAGAAGCAACAGTTTGCTTATATAATTAGAATAAATAATAAATAATTAGCTAAATAATACTAGGCTGTTATATACAGGGTGGCTACCAGTTAAAAATAAAATATATTTATATTTATTTTAGAAACATTAAACTTTTAGTAATCCATTTTTATCGCTTTTATTTTGTTTTCATAAACAGAGAGGAAGTAAAAGTTTGATACTTGATATATAAAGCTCTGATTTTCTCTATTGTAAAATAAAATGGGCTATGGGGATTCTAATAATATAGTATTTTGTCGTAAGTAATTTAGTTTCTTTTAGGCCTGGGAGAGGATGAAACGGGAGAAGATTGAGGAAATGAGGAGTGCACACTGAGAGCCGACTGTTCTTTCATAGGGTAACCCAAGAGAGATCAGCCTTCCAACCAAAAAGCATAGCTTGCAAAGGATGAAAATGGGATGCTTTTAAACAAGAAAGAAGAGATTCTGGAAAGAAAATCTACGAAAGGTTATTTCGAAGGACTTCTAAATGTGGGAAATGGAACAACAGCCCTAGATGAAAGAAGTCGTACAGCACAGGAAATAGAAGATCTTGAAGCTCTTCCAGATCCAGAAGAGGTCGATTGAAAAATCACAAATGGCCAAGACTGGATGAGATACCTGTGGAACTCTCCAAGTATGGGGAGGAAGAACTGCATAAGGAGCTGCATAATCTAATTCTCCAAGTATGGAATGATGAACTGCCAGAGGAGTGGAAGAAGGGTAGAATATGTCCAATTCACAAGAAAGGAGGAGACCGCACAATATGTTTAAATTATCGCAAGTTTTTCCTCCTCCATAGCGAGTACAAAGTCCTGTGTCTGTTACCTTACACGACAAATTATCCCCTTATGCTGCGCCTATAGTTAGGGAGTATCAGACGGGTTTTAGAAAAAGAAGGTCCACTATTGATCGAGTGTTCAATTTGAGGATGATAATGGAAAAAGGAATAAAGTACCGATTGCTAACCCACCATTTATTCCTTGATTTCAAGAATGCTTATGATAGCATTAACCGATGAAATCTATATGAAGCTCTGGTCGACCAAATTTCATGTATCTGAGGAACGCTTTGCCACCTTTTCAAACTACGTGCCCCTCGAAATTAGCCGTCGGATCACGGAGCCAACCGATGCTATTTTGGGCTTACAAGGCAGATGAAGCAAGACAGGCCACCTGCTCACCAGAGAAGGCAAGGTACAGCTGTCCAAGACACTGATAAGACCGATTCTTACCTATGCTTCACAAACCTGGACATGAGAAAGGTCTTCCAATTTCTGTATGAAAAATATTGAGAAGAATATATGGTCCTGTTAGAGGAACTATGGATTCTACTGCTTGCACGGAGACATTGATGTAGTACAGTTCATCAAGGTGGGCAGGCTCAGTTGGGCACGACATGTGGCACACATGGCTGAAGAGAGAATACCCAGGAAAGTTATTGAGGAAGTGCTGGACCGAAGGAGAAGAGGAAGACCCAGGTTGAGATGGATCGACAGTGTGGCCGCAGACTCAAGGACAATAATTCACCAACAGAACTGGAAGGCGGCGACGAGAGACCGAGCTGGATGGTGGAAGCTCTTAGAAGAGGCATTGAAGGACCCATCTCGGATCGTAGAAGCCATTTAAGTAAGTAAGTAATTTAATTTCTTTATTACTATAAATAGCATAATAATAATCCATACAACACCAACTGTGGCATTTCTGGTTAATAAATGCTCTTCTAAGAAGCACCACAGGTCGTTTGCTAGCCAGACCTTGACCCAGATTTATATATTACAAATAGTAAATAATAAGAATTGGGGGGGCGGGGTGGCCGAATAGGCTAAAGCGTGTGTAAAAGCACCGCTAGTTGCCTGGCAACCGGATAACAGAGATTTGAGATGATATAAAAAGTACGAGTTCGCGTCCCGGTGCCGGAGGGGATTTTAAATTCCTCGCCCTCACCCCCCGGCCCGGGAATATCCCGTAAAGAAAAAGTAAAAAAAGTAAAAGTAAATAATAAGAAACAAAGATGATTTAGTTTTGTTTTGCTTAAATTTTATTCATTCTCCTCATTTGATTTCAATATAACGATCGTGCTCATTTACAATGACGAAGTTTACCACTTCATTATAAACGATATCCACTATATATTTATTTCCAATTCGATAACAAATTTTAGGTACTAAAAAAATTTCCTGACTTCTGAAAATTCCAATTTTTCTCATTTTTTCTCATTGGTTGCTACCCTGTATAAAGATGCATGAACACAACCCTTAGTTCCTACTCTCATAATTAATCCTATAATAATGTTTTTTTCCCTACTATTTATATCAATATCTACTTTCACTAATCCTATAATTAGTCGGATCTAATCGTTTAATTCTCAGTTCATATTAATTAATATTGTACTTATTTAATAGCGGGTAGCGTCCGACTGCTATCTGAAAATGTTCATACCTTAACACTGATAAGCTCTTCGTATTCATATTTATTGTATTGTATTGATATTATTGAAATTGTGAACAAAATCAAAAGCAAATGTAATAATAAAAAATACTTTTATTTTACAACATATATATTAAAATAGATCAAAACATTATAAACATATAATTAAAAAACATTGCAGCATACATACCAAAATAAATGAAATAATAAAAATAAGCAAAAAATAGATGAAATAATAAAAAACCACTTAAACAGCATATGTACATATAAAAGAAACACTATGAAGAAACGATATAAACTAAATATGAAAAATTTTATTTTAACTTGATTTATTTTGGTAGGGAAAATAGTCTTATGGTATTTAAAATAGCAAGGAAGGGGATCACTATGTAATATTGTTAAATTATGGGACCACTCATAAATGAATTTTAAAGCTGTTAAAAAATAAATCCTCGACCCCTCTAACCAAGTTCTTTTCCTTCTAGAAACGATTTTATTACAACTACGAAAGCGCATCTCCATTTAATCTTCCCGTCGAACTTCATTTGATGACCTTCATCACAATATTTGACCTTTGCAAATACCCCGGCGTCTTGAAAATATTTTATAGCCTCTTCTTCTGAAGACGGCAATTCCCACAATGTGACAACATCCATAATTAAATAACACTAACTCACAGTTAACACAAGAAACAAAAAATAAACAAGGGAATAACTTAGGTTAGATGAGATAAGGGAGGTTATGTGAAATGAGATTAGATAAGAAGAGAGGTTTTGACGCTACCTGCTATTAAATAAGTACCATTAATATTTCTGAAACCAACATAAAATATAAATAACAATACTCATTACATTATTAAATCTGTATATTTTAATTTGTTATTAAGTGTGTAGATGATTGACTATGTGATAATCAAAAAGTTGATTAGAAAAAATAACATCAAATAATTGCTAATTATTTACTATATATTTTATTTATTTATTAGCTATTATTTTTTTCTGACCGACTCCCAGACTATGTTCTTAATTGATTATTGTATATCTAAAAATAAAATGAGTAAACAAGGAATTATACCTCTTTGGGTTCTAAAGTAAATAATGATTTAGATAGTTGTAAACAGCATTCAAAATTAGCACATAAGCAAGAATATTTCTTCTGGACATCTAATACATTTTTGAATTTGAGTACAAATGGTTCCAAGACAGAGATATCAAATGGACCTTGCGGTTGAGGAGGTTCACAATGGCACAAAAGTTTATATCTATGAAAAAAAATTTTATGGTAAAATTACTTAATAGTTTTTATAACATGAAGATATGTAAATAATTTGTGAGTCTTAGATTAATTATAGAAATCAGTAATTAGATAGATATAATTCAGGTGGCTCCTCCCACCATCAAAACATTTCAAGAACAACAAAATAATTTAAACAAAAATAAAATACTTTCTATTAAAGTGAATGCACCATTTATGGATAGGTTGCACTTTAAATGTAAATAATAAGCTTCCTTGTTCATTTAAAGGTTCCAGTTTTTTCTAGATTGAAGAACAATGCCCTCTATTGACAACTGTACGGACAAAGTACCCAAAAGAAAATTTTAAAATAACTATCATTTTGTTTCTATCGTGCTCTTGAGATCAGTGTGTTTCATATCTTCCTACTAACAGTTTTGCTAAGAATAAGTTAAAAATTTATGTTATCTTGTCCTTATAGTTAAGTAAACACTTTAGAATGTTTCTGAGGTATGTCCGTTACTGGTACCGACCCCATGTCCATTACTAGAACAATTGAATTTCGGAGTGTCCATCACTAGTGCAAAAAGGTGTTTTTTTTTTTTAAAATGGTGATTATACCTGCATAACTGAATATTTTTTCAATTTTAATATGTTAAATAGAAAAAGGAGACCCTAGAGATTCTAAATATCCAATGGAAAAGTTTATAACTATAATAATTATGGCGGCATAAGCCAAAAATTTCATTAGTTTTGTCTACTACTGGTGCGCTTAACTTAAGCACTTTTCAGAATTTTAAATTGAAGTTCTGACTTATGATTTTAAAATTAATTTAAAAAAATACGTACAAATAAATAAGGTAAAGGTCATTAAACATTTAAAAAATTTCAACATGTTTGATTATTCTTTAAAGAAAAAAAAAAAAAGTTTGACTAAATAAAAAATAATTGTTTTTTAAAACTAATTATAAAAATGAATGTTATGAATTGTGATATGGAAAAAATTAATAGAGCAACATACGAAGACATAGGTAATGTTCATAAACATATTGTATGTATAATTTCTTTTTTTAAAGATTAAGATCGAACAGTTAGTCTGTTATTAAAACGTCCTATAAATTACATGAGACTGTACAATACTATGATACAGCTGCGAAAACTGGACACTGACCAGGATCCTAGAAAGAAGTAGAGAAACATCCTCCGGAGTGATCTGGAATCAAAGTACTAATGCATGAAGTAGAAAGACCAATAATAAGCTGCTTACAGAAAATGGTCAATCAATATCTCATTATATGAAGGCAAGGAGGTTAAGATGAGCAATCCATCAGGAAGCCTCTACACAATGAATATGCTTCAATGATATACAAAAGACCTCGAAGAAGGCCAAAAACCAGATAGATAGATAGACCAAGATAGGCAAATACTACAATGTCTGTAATGTAATGCCAACAGAAAAAGAAAAAACTATTATAAATTTCATGATAGATAAACAAATCTAGAGGAAGGAGATGGTCCAGGGTGGCGGTCGTAAATAGACTAAAATAGTGGCAAAATTACCTTTTTGTAGGTCTTCTTCAGAAAGATATGTTCAGCAAGGAATATGAGTTACAACTGAAGAAACAACAGTTAAAACTGAAATGTAGGCAAAAGTTATTATTATAATTTCCATCCTTTATTCTCGCTTTGCGGGGTAAGTTTCTGAGGTGGGAGACCAGAAGTCCAGCCACCTTCATATTAATATTTATTATTTTTTTAGATGTTAAAAAATTTTCGCACAATACGTGCTGTGTCTACGAGAACTGAGTGTTGAGCCTCTTTCAGCACTTCAAGAGGTAATTTTAATCCTATCGTACCTGCCACTGTTGTCTATGGTATCAATCCATAGGAGGATATTATAATTGGAGTGGTGGTGACGTTCCCCAAATGATATAATTCCTTCAGTTCGATTACCAGTCCCAGGTAGGGGGATAAAAAAAAAAAAAAAACGTTATAATCGATTCATCCCAGTAGAGCTTGAGACTACCTTTTTGGAGGAGTTTATTTGGGTGGTACTTATAATATGGAGTTTTGTCATCTAATAAGTTGAGCTTCACCGCCAGAGCCTGATAAAAAATTCTAGCCACATTGTTATGCCTCTGGAGATACTCGGTGCCAGCTAACACTCCACACCCACCTGTGATATGTTGGATTGATTCCAGCATCGCTGAGCATAATCGACATTTATCCGTAGTTATTGCGTCTTTTAGAACATGCCTTCTATAAGATCTAGTAGCAATAACTTGGTCTTGGATGGCGAGTAGAAATCCTTCTGTCTCGGAGAATATCTTTCCAGCTTTCAGCCATTCAGTGGATATTTCCTTGTCAATCGAGCTATCATTCAATTTGCTGTAGAATCTTCCATGCAGAGATTTGTTTTCCCATTCTGTCAACCGTTCATTTTCTGACACGATTGTAGAGACCTCACGATTGCTCAGGTTAAGTGCCAATAATCCAATCTTGAGATTGCGAGGTAAACCTTAGTTGTTTTTGTAAGAAAGTATCGGCCTAGGGCCACTTCCTGGTTGCGACAAGCTTCTTCGATATTTAGCAAACCATGTCCTCCTTCTTTCCTAGGTAAATACAGATGAGCTTTGGAGGACATAGTGTGGTGGGCCCGTTCTTGTGTGAGAGTCGTTCGCACAAGGCGGTATTATTATTAAAACAACAGTTAAAACTGAAATGTTGGAAAAAGTTATTATTATTATTATAACATAGTTATTATTATTAAAACAACAGTTACAACTGAATTGGCTTGAAATAAAATAGTTTTGCCACTATTTTAGTCTATTTATGACTGCCACCCCGGACCCTCTCCTTCCTCTAAAATACAACAGTCAACTATTCAATATGAAACAAATCTATGTATAATTTCATATTTTTTTAAGGCATAATAATAAATGTTGTAATTCAATAAGACTCACACAAAGAGCTGATAAGGCTTAAAATATTCAACTGTCACCGAAGCTGTATTTGTACCAACCGCAGCTGGTTCGTAAGCACATAAGAGTTCTTCAATGTATGAAGAATCATCCACATGTTTTATTGTTATTGCTGGATTATCAGACTGTAAAGTAAAGAACTTAATGTGAAATCTTGAACTAACAAATAATTTATTAAATATTAAGTAATATTATATAATTATTATTATATAAATTCTTTATTGATGAAAAGCTACAAAGGCCGGGAAGCCAGGATATGAGTGAAGATAGTAGTTAATAATAATAATGTTATTAGTTAATTTTAGAATAACAAATTTGGACCGTTTCTTCTCTTCCCCACCTCTGGTCAAGTGAATGAGTGAATGAGGCAAATAATTTAAATGAGGGCATGTCAGCAAATGTTACATAAGTGCCCACATAAATATCGGAGACCTCACATTTGATTATGTTAATGAATTTATTTATTTAGGCTTTTAAGTAAACTCCGACAATTATATGCAACAAGAAATTAATAGAAGATTGATGTATGTCACGTAACAACAACATGCAGCTTTATAAGACCCTCATAAGGCATGTTTTAACCTATGCATCTGGATGCTGGACAACTTCTCGAGCTCAAGAATTAATAATCCTAAGATTTGAAATGCAGATCCTTAGAATTTTATAGGCTAGTTTTCAGCATTAACACCAGGTGACTGAGAACAAATGTTGAAATAGAAATAACTTTTAAAATGCAGATTGCTCCTTCAGGAATATCCGTTTAAATCAATAAACAAAATTAATAGAATAAAAATAATAAAATTTAAACTCATTCACAAATATTCCCAACAGTATTCTAGAACTCAAATTTATACAAGAAAAGAGCTCCGTTCATTTCACATGTACCGGGCCCTCCAATATTGTACAGCACTATAGAATGGCTTCATTGGATAAGGATTAAAAGAGACAAGTCACCTATTGGGATAAAACAAAATTGTTTTTTCCTTAATCCAGTATTTATATATTTAGATTGGCAATTAAAATGTTTATTACTAAAGGTGTTCTAGTTATTTTTTAAAAAATATTTACAATAATTGGTATTTGGTTGACACTGTCGTGGATAATGAAGAGAAGAATAGTTGGGGTGTTCAGTCAAAAAGGAAGGCAAAAATAAATGATAATATTTATTTTTTACATATGCCGACGTTTCGACCTGAAGTTCAGGCCTTCATCAGGGCTAAGAAAATAACCAGATAACAAGGTATGAGAAACATAAGTAATGATGGTAAAAGAGATAATAAAAAAAAATAATAATAAAATAAAAAAATTTAGAAAAATAAAATAGATAAATATAAAGTAAAATGAAATTGTCAGAATAATGACCAAGAACTAAGAGATAAATAATAAAAACCATTACAAAGTGTGGAATGATGAAGTAGGCATAATCAAAAAGGGTGACAAAAGTGTTACAATGGGAATCTTAGAATAAAATGTAAAACATAAAAAAGAAATATGAAGTTATATAAGAAATGAAAACATCCTCTATGACTATGAAAATAATCTTCCATACTATGAAAATAAATAGTAAAATTAAAACATTGAGAATGGAGTAGTTAGATAGAAAATTGAGATATTGTAAAGTCTATCAAGGTGTACAGACAATGTATAATATAATAAAGAGTTAAAAACAGAGAAAAGGAATGAAAGGAAGGAGGGAAGAAATTGAGAAAGCTGAAATAAGAAAGAAATAAAAGAAGTACTACCTGTCTCCTTAAGTGTCGCAGGGAGAATAAAAGTCGTTACAAGGGAGGGGGAGAGAGAAGAGATGTGTAGGTGGCGTCATCTCTAACGGTTATCCGACGAAGTTTGAACTAAAGCGCTGGAAGCGTAAATAGGTACGAGAGATATATTACTCAGAAAAATTATGGAAAAAAAAAATATATTTACCTTTGCTCTGAAAAGCAGTACTTCTTTTACTAACTTTCTGGTTCGACCAATAATTCTGTTATAAACTCTTCTATGAATTCTTACAGTATGGCATATAGTCGTAATTTTATGTTCTGTAATGTAGCTTTTTTTTCTAGGAATTTCAGTGTTAAATGAAGGAACATTTTTAACAATTGGTGTTGGCAATTTCAAAATAAATGTCAATTTAGAACCAAAAGGATTGAACAAAGAAATTAAGCCGCTTGAAGAAGGTATTTCACTCCTCAGAATTATTCTGTAAAAATATGTCCCCAGTAAATTGCCAGTCACTTGCAATTTTACCTCACTTTTTTCCAATTTCTTCGGTGAGTAAATAATAGAAAATTCTCCCTGAAAAAAAAAGCTTCTATAGCAGATCTGGGCAGTATTTCAAATAAAATATTTTAAAATACAAAATAAAATACATTTTAGGTATTTTTTATGTTAAGAAGTAAAATGTAAAATAGATTGTTTGTAACTTCATTAGATTTTTAAGTACAAAATAGAAAAAATATTTATTTGAGTTTTATATTAAAGATACTAAAATGTGAAGAATATATTTCTGTGTATTATTGGCTAACCGTCCAATACTTTTTCTGAATGCAAAATAAATGCTTTGTAGTTAAAATACACTATATTTTAAAAATTGTATTATAAAATAATAATTAAAATAATTTTTGCTCAGGTCTGTTCTATACTAATGGTCTTAATTATACTAAAACATTATTGAACCAACGTTTTGACATTAATCCGCATCATCAGGGTTCGAATATAAGACATCAAGTCAACAACCAATACCTTATAATCATAATAAATAAACACATAACAATCAACATTACATTTTTTTAAAACACTTATAACTATTATCTTGAATTATGATTGCACAAAAGATTATTTCAGATTTCGCAAAGGTTCTGAAATCTGTATATATTGTTTTGTCAAAATAAACGAAATTAAATCATGACACAAGGGTCTAATGTAATTTTCAAATAACATACATTATTAGCTACAATAATTTTTATTTACAATAGTGATTTACGTTTCGGGGAGCCCTCATCATCTTCAGAATCTAGACTTCTTGTTACATATTACATTAAAGATGTACATCTTTATGGTTACTTGATTAATAATACTGTAAAATGATGTGAATAACTTCAGAGGAATCTCCCTACTACCGGTCACCTATAAGATTTTCTCAAAGGCTTTACTAAACAGGCTCTATCCACAAGTAGATTCTAAAATCGGGGAGTACCAAGGTGGTTTTAGAAAAAATAGATCATGTCAGGAACAAATTTTGAGCCTTAAGCTATTAATTAAACACTACAGGACTAAAAGTAAAAAGAACCTTTTTATCTCTTTTGTCGATTTCAAAAAGGCGTATGATTCGGTAGATAGGAAAACACTTCTTGAAGTACTAAAAGATCACGGAGTTGACCAAAAAACTAGAAAATTGATAGGGCTAACGATGACAGGGACTGAATCTAAAGTTAAATTCCAAGGAAATATCAGTGAATCATTTCAGATCAAAACGGGACTCAGGCAGGGAGACGGATTGTCTCCAACACTGTTTAACATAGTACTCAACAAGATCATAAAGGAACTATGGAAAATCAACAATTCAGGTGCAACCCTAGGTACTAAGAACAATAACATCAAAATTGGATGTCTCGCATACGCAGACGGTGTTGCCCTTTTATCAGAAACTGAAGAAGAGGCGATTGCCCAAATAAACACTATCTCGGAAATAGCGAGGAAAACAGGCTTACAGATATCTTTTAAGATTTCTGAACTTTTTCTGAGAAATTTTAAGAAGAAAAAAATTAAAACCAAATACGGAACGATTAAAGTAACTCAGAGATTTAAATACCTTGGAGAAATCATATGCCACAATGGGTCAGAGAGAGAAGGGTTTAAAGAAAGAATCGCCAAACTAGAGAAATTAAGCTTCGCCACCAGTGAGCTTTATAAAAAGAAGAACTTATCTCTAAAAGCCAGAATACGACATTATAACACGGTCGTCAAGCCAGTGGTACTCTACGCAACAGAAACTTCTTCTCTTCCCAGCCTAGAAAGCCTTCTGAAAATAGAAAGAAGAATTCTCAGAAGAATCTACGGAGCTAGGAGAATACCTGCAGGATACAGGTTGAGGTCAAATCAGGAAATATATAAGGAAACAACGGATCTAGAAACTGACACTAGAGTGGGAAGGCTGAGGTTCTATGGCCATATGATAAGGATGAATCCTGAAAGACTTAACCATAAAATATTTCAGCGCATCCACAGTCATAAGAATTTAAGGGGGTATTTTAAACAAATTAAGGATGATATGGACCAAATGGGATTAAGAGACCAAGATTGTTTGGACAGAGATGAGTATGGGAAGGCGCTCAAGAGAATAACGGTTCTTGCGGGAAAGAAGGGCTCCAAAAAGGGTGTTGCGTGGTATGAGGAGAGAAAACATAAACACGCGGAGCTCATTAGGGGCATATGGGAGAAGAGGAGGCAGATGAAGAGAAAGCATTAACTTCATGGTATTCGCGTGGTCTTTAAGGCCTGTTCGTGAAACAAAAAAAAAAAAAAAAAATACTGTAAAATAACTGTTCCAAAATTTCTAGGTTATTAAAGTCAAATTTAGGTTTTGTTTTTCCTGTAGTACCTATTCATTTTAACAAATCTTGGTCTCTCAAGGTGAGATCTATCAATTGTCCATGTTTGTTTATGTTACAATTTCGTCATGACTCTCAAACCCAATGAACAAAAATTTTCCCCTTTTTATTTATTGTAATATACACCTTAATTGAAAGTTGTTGAAAACAATTTAATAAATTAATGTAACAGTTAAAAATCAAAATAATCTAGTTCTACTAGTTCAGGGAAAAGAAAATAGCTGTGCTCTGTAGTTACCCCAGAAATGAAAATCACAAAGAGGAGAAATCACAAACGATTTTTGTTTTGGGGGCAGTTGGTGTTTGGCTGGAATGAAGAGAGAATAGGAGAAGGGATCCTGACTCCAGTGGGTAAAACCCAATAATAGTATTACCATCTTGGAAGTTGTTGTTTGGCAGAGAGACTAGTTGTTTGGAATCACAAGAGAGAGGATCTCCCAGGGAGTTAGAGTTCAGTAGAAGAAAGTGTTACCATTTTGGAAGATGTGTTTGGCAGAACATAGGAAAATATTAGAAGACACATGAATTGACACAAAGAACGAAACAGTATATATAGAAAAAAGGTTAGCTTGACTCAATTCATACTTGACTTTATTTTAAAATCAAACAGCGTTTAGTTTAGTTAATAATAGTTTGTCTGAGTGTTTTGATTTAATTGTCAGTAAAATCCATACCTGAGAAAAAATAAATGTGAATTTCAGTTTAATATATTAATACTCATATAATCTTGTTTATTATTTAACAAACTATTATTTATTTAGGAAGTATCCCAAAAGTATAACGTGATCTTCCACGAGGTTATATTATTATTTGCAAAATATAAAAGAGATGTTACATTATATACACTGCCTGGATAATAGTTTAACAACAATGGTTAGTTGTCTTTTTAAACACCTAGAATTTTTTTTTATTCTTTCCCATTCCAGGCAAAAGTCTGGAGATATTTTTCCAGCGAAGTCATAAAGCTTATCACTCTTTATATAATGTTTACTTATCAGAAATAAGTGTTAAAACAACATGGTTTTATAATGATAATAAGCTTTTGCTACAGATTTTATTTTTCCTTAGTATTTTTTTTAAATATAAAAAAAAAATACAAATATATACAAGAAATACTGAGATATAAAAATAAAATGGCTTCTCTCAATTAACTGCTGGTGAGCAAATTTTTAAAAGCTTGCGGAAATTTGAATTTGTAATAGGTGGTGGAATAGGAGTTGTTTGAAGGAGGTAGCACGAATGACGAAGGAAGTGGTTTTATGGGAGGGGATATATAAATCTATAGGTTGAGACTTGGTGTTGAGAGAGTGAAGAGCGGAGGGCAAGGAGTTCTAAGATGGAGGATTTTTGGTTCTGAGGACTTGGAAATTGGATGAGCAGTAAAAAAGTTATGTTTATTGAGTTTGCCAAAGTTTTGTCCCAAACATATGGGCCATGATCAGAGCTCAAATTTTAAAAATAAAAAATAACATCAGAAAAATTATAAATATAAAAGTATAAGAGAAGAAAAAGGTGTTATGTACAAACGAGATAATGGTTGTATAAACATAACAATAAAGTAATAAAATGTTTTTGTGTTACAAATAAATGAAAAAGATAAATATATCAAAAGTAAAAATAAATAAACCAAATAATTGGTGTAAATAAAAAAAAATCGATAAATAAGAAGTATGTAAAAACAACGTACAGAAATAAAAATTAACAAATATGAAAAACAACGTATAGAAACAGAGATTAATAAATATAAGGAGCTTAAATAATATATAAATGGTATGAAGGCCATACAAGAATTGAGAGTTAATGGAACTAATACACTTTTGGGGGCATGGTGTGGGTTTAACGGCCATTTAACAAAATATATTATAACATTTTTACAAAAATTTGTCCAGCTTTCAAATCATTAGTAAACTCTATATAAAATAAGCTTGATGGTGGGTAGAAGGGGAGAGAAATGCGCAGTGTCAAAACAAACAAACAAAGTGTGTGAGAAAGTTATGAGAGATTAAAAAGTAAGAGTTCACATCTTTTCCTATTTCCAGCATTGATTCACAGAAAGATTGTCTCTTTATATACTGCGATTCATTTGATTCGAGTTAATACAGTACAGTCTAAAATAATACATAATGTGAACAATTATCTTTGTTTACATTCAGAAGTAAATGAAAAAGTATTGGATTCTTTTCTGTTCTATGTTTTCTATCTATTTCTTGGTAAATTTAGGTCTACAGATCCTAGTAATAACATCAAGTTCAGTGAACAGTAGACCTCGCAAATTCATGTACATATTTTTCTCAATTTGATTATTTAACCATCCTTTTCATTGTTTTATTTTATTTTTTTAATTAAAATCCCCCTGACCATTAATAAACATTTGTGCGAAATTCGAAGACAATTGAATAATGCTTTCCTGGTATAATGTGGTTGCTATGGTGAAGAGGGGAAGTGGAGCTGGAGAGATGTCTTGGAGAGGTGGAATTCGAGTGGGAGAAAGCTGCGCGAGTTTCCTTCCCCTACATTCAAACTTAACTTAGATGCACTTTAATTGTTAAGAAACTAATTATATTTATTAATCTCTATTTCAATACACTGCTTTTTCGTATTTGTTAATTTTTATTTCTATTTCATATTTATCGGAATGTTTTATTTACACTAATTATTTGGTTAATTTATGTTTACTTTTATATATTTATCTATAATAAATGAACATTTATTTATAACAGAAAAACATTTTCTTACCATATTGTAATATTTTGTTATTTTTATATTTATACAACCTGTAGTAGACATCCCCCTGTATTTACTCCTTTAGACGATATTGTGTGAGGGAATGAGAAGGAATATATAATATATAGGAATGTGAGGTTGCACTGTGAATTGTACTCAATTGTGCAGTGGACAAATTGCTCATTAGAAAATCTCATATCGATAAACAATCGAAAAGAAGAAAAAAGGTCCGATCAGGTAGCAGCAGCTGGAAGAGGACGCCAGACACTTGAGGCCTGGACAGGAACATGAGAAGACGTCATCTGGGAAGAGAGGCTTACTACATTGAAGACCAAGAATATCAAGCCAACCGTTCACTTATATATATTCATCATCAGTTGTTAAAATAAATTTGTTTTGTTATACAGGAGTGAATAGTCATTTTATTTAGTTGTCATATATGCCTCACAACTGAAGAATAACAAACCAGGTGAGTCAATTCATTCAAAGTGTATTTACTAAGTCCCACATTTCAAATATATATTCTTATTGTTTCTTCTCACTTTATGTCACAAAAGGTAATAGATTTCCAAATTCCCAATCACAGTTAAACACCCTCAAAAAGTCTATATCCAGTGCCGGAGTTTTGTTTTAATAATTCACGAGTGTAAATAACCTTAAATCCCCGATATAAAAGCGGAAGGCTATGCGCCTATTCCCGCCAAAACGAATCATTTAATATTTAACTTTCAGTAGGTTATTTACAAACTATTATCTCATTTGTACGTTCCATGTTTTTCTTCTCTTATACTTTTATATCCATCATTTTTCTGATGTTTTGTATTTTTTTAATTTTTAGCCCTGGTGATGACTGAAACGTCAGCCTTCTGCAAGACGACTTGGTCTAGAAGTCAACGAGAAGAAAACTAACTATATGAGAATTGTTGGTGAGGTGGATCTGAACTCTCCATTTGGGGTAGGTTCTTTTAAGTTTGAGAGAGTAAAAAGTTTTATATACCTTGGGTCTGAAATAAATATCAAGAATGATATGGCTCAAGAAATACGGAGAAGGATCACGGCTGCCAATAGATGTGTCTTTGGACTTGGCCGTCACTTAAGAAGTAGGTATCTCTAAAAGAAGACCAAGCTGATTCTATAAAAGACCCTTGTAAGGCCTGTTTCGACATATGGCTCAGAGGCTTGGACGATGACGAAAAGTGATGAGATGAAGCTGGGTGTGTTCGAGTGAGGAGTCCTCAGAAGGATTTATGGTCCAGTAAAGGAGTGTGATGTCTGGAAGAAAAGAAAAAATAGGGAGCTCAGTTCTCTTTATACAGACATCGAAGTAGTCACATATATTAAACTGGCCAGATTAAGGTGGACAAGGCATGTGGCCAGAATGAGTGCCTTTGAGATACCCAAGAAAATAATGATGGAGGAGCTGCCTGCACCTCGCAAGACGGGTAGGAAGACCGAGGACGAGATGGTTGGACATGGCCTATGACGTGAGAACCCTGCAACTGGCGGAAGCTCTTGGAGGAGGCCTAGTCTCGATAACAGGATGTCGTGCCACATATGTACGTATGTATGAAATGTCGGCAAACTCATTAATCATAATTTTTTTTTTAAGGCACATCATGACCATTTTTCATCTTTACAATTTCAAGTTAACTATATACCCATCTCTAAAGTATAATAAACTTATTTTATATCCCAATACTTCAATGATGTTATATATTGTTAATAAAACTCACGTGTTGATTAGGATGGACATCTAAAACAGATGGCTTCACTGTTAGATATTCATAAGTCCTCGGAACAAGTGATGTGACCTTAAATGTATCAATTATTTTGAGAGGATTGTAAACCGCAATAGTTTTACTTAGAGAATGATCTATCATTGCATCCATTTCAATTGTCTCCCAAATCTTTTCTGGAGGTGATATCTCAACTGTTACATTGTAAACCATGTATTCAAAATTTTCATCATTTGTGAAGATAACCTATGAAACATTTTAAATAAAAAGTAACCAAATAAAATCACAAAATAATAAACACACTATTACTACTGTCACATTTATCTTTGTAATAATAATACAACTAATTTAAAAAGTTAAAAATTACATCAAAATTTACTGTTCCTTTTTTATACGCATAAAATTTGACAATATATTCTTTCTTGTCTCTACCTGGCAGCACAAAACATTTGCTTCCTTCAATATTGAATTCATCGTTATTTGATCGACTTTTCCTGAATTGTACGCTCATTCTAAAGACAAAAATATTTAGGTAAAAAGAATTATCATTAATCGATACAAAGAATATTTCAATAAATAATTAGGGAATTTGGTAATGTGATAAAAATATATTTCAAGAGAGGATTCGAAAAAAAATTAAATAAAATAAAACTGAGGGGTGCTACTGACATTAGGATTTCAGGGAGCTAATCCTTTAGTGACATTATGTGTTGAGAATAATAAGTATAAAGTGGCTCACAGTCAAAATGATACACCTGGGTATTGATAGAAATTATTGAATAAATAAATAGTTCAATTTATATTACACTAAAAACAACAATTTATTGTAATCAATAAACATCCTAGTAAAGTGTTATTTACTTATGTTCTTTTTGTACTTCTTGCTCCTATGTTATAGACCGTTAAGTACTATTTAACATATTAAATATATTACATATTAAATATATAACATTATTAAATATATATACTATTTAACATATTTAATATATTAAGTACTATTTACTTCTTGCTCCTATGTTATAGACCGTGGTACAGACCCCTCCTTATTGAATTATTAACATCTGCCTGAAACTTCGTAAATAGTTTCATCTCATCTTAACCTACAACTATTTTATTTACGAAAACTCTTGGAATTGGGGCGTTTTCAATCTGGAGAGGTGCAAACTTTGTCTATTTAATTAGGTACTAAAAACTCCTAAATACACATTTGTTTTCTACTTGGATCATAAAATAATTTGATCATAAAGTCAAGAAAAAAGGTGGCCTTCAAAAATATTAAGCCGTTTGGAGTGACCTACACCTCCAAAATTTCAAAATAACGAGGTTATATAGGACAAACGGCTCCATATTTTTGTAGGCCATCTTTTTCAATAGTACCACAGGCTATTATGTTTCATGTCCTTTTCTTAGAGTGGAGAGAACGGCTTTTGCTGAAGGAAATGTTTACTTAATAGTGGAAATATTCACATGGTACAGTGAATAAACATGTTTATAAAGAAATTTTGAGAACAGACTTGAAAGAAATTGTGCAAAGTTTGGGCTAAAAACTACAAACAGACAGAAAGGAGTGGTAGAAAATACTTACCTACAAGTCGTTGAACTAAACTAATAGTACTTAAAAGTTAAAAAGAAGTGAAGTATATCATTTTGACTGTGAGGCCTATATAACCTTGTTATTTTTACTTTTTGGAGGTGGAGGATCACGCTAAACAGATCAATATCTTTGTATCCAAACACACCACCTATTTTTTCGATTTTGTGATCATATTATCTTACGATTCGAGTGGAAACAAATGGGCGTTCATGAGTTTTAGTACCTAATTAAATAGACAAAGTTCGCCATTCTTCAGATTGAAAATGCACCAATGCCGAGAATTATTACAAATAAGATATTTGTAGTTTACAATGAGATGAAGTTATTTACGAAGTTTTAGGCAGATGTTAATAATTTGATAAAAAGGGGTCTGTACTATGGATTATAAAAAGGAGTCAGTCAAATTAAATAGGAGATGGAATTCGGGTTCCAGTGGGTAAAACCCAGTAACAGTATTACCATCTTGGAAGTTGTTTGGCGGAGAGACTAGTTGTTTCGAACTTCAAGAGAGAGGATGTCCCAGGAAGCTTGAGTTAAGTAGATGAAAGTGTTACCATTTTGGAAGATGTGTTTGAGAGAACATTGGAAAGCATTTGAAGAAAAATGAATTCAGTGCCATAAAGGAAGAAACAGTGTTTATAGAAAAAAAAGGTTAGCTTGCCAATCCATAATTGACTCTAATTTAAAATCAAACAGTGTTTAGTGTAAATAATTTTAGTCTGTCTGAGTCTTTTGATCTGATTGTCAGTAACCCCCATACCTGTGATAGGATAATTATAAATTTCAATTTAATATATTAATACTCTTATAATTTTGTTTATTATTTAATAACCTCTTATTTATTTAGGAAGTATCCAAATGGTATAATGTGGTCTTCCGAGGTTATATTATTATGATTATTTGTAAAATATAAGAGAGATGTTACAATACAGCAAATAAAACTAAAGAGTGGTTAATCTTTAACGTTCACCAACAACTTAATATCCCTCTACAGTCTTCTAACTTAAACATAATTGAAAATTTGTGGCATATTTTAGATAAAAATGTTTGAAAACAAAAAATAACCAGAAGGCACCACCTCAAGGATCTTTCACAGCAAGAATGGGAACAAATTAACAAGGATTTAATTAAAAATCTCGTCCACTCAATGCCGAGACATTTACAAGCAGTCATAGATGCCAACGGACTTCATACAAAATATTAAATTAAAAAAATTATAAAGCGTAAAGTGTGCAAATACTTGTTTTCTGTATTTTTTTTGGTAAGTTTGATGTTTTGTTTTTTTATGAAAGAAGTTTTTCATTTGAATTTTTTTATAGTTATTAAGGAATAAATATATTTTTTATTTTCGAAGTAATATGATTTTTTTATTGTATAAATTCATAATTGAATAAAAAAAAAATCTGGTGTGCGCAACACACAACTTTCACTTACCGATCTACTTTGAATAGAAATTATTTTCTGGCAATGCTGGGCTATTATACAATTTTTTGAAGTGCATTTTAAACGAATCTAAAGCTTAAAGCTTAGAGATAACAAGTCATTAAGACCATTATAATTACAAAATGTCTATTTAATATATCAACGACAGGCAATAAAAATCTATTCACTCTATCTGCTTTTTTAAACCACAGAATGACTAACTCCAATTTCAACATTTTTGAGTGATGTCATTTCAGTTATATTTTTAGTTGAAAAAGTTATCTATGCAGACAATGAGTAAGTTGATTCCAGAGGTGGTGATTGCAGTGTTGAAATATAGAAGTGAGAATAAAAGTATAAATTTAGGTACTTATTTCCTATGAAAGATGTTCTTAGGAAAGATACTTTATTAAATATCTGTATAAAAAAGGTTTTTTTAGTCTCAACAATTAAAAAGGTATATATATATTTGAAATTTATCTAAATTTTCGCCTCTTCAGGGGAAAAAAAACTAGAGGCCATATCTTTCCTCCTAATTGTACGATTTTTTTTTTTTTTTTTCGTAAATTCCATAAACTTTTTAAAAAACATATACAATATCCCCAAAAAAGCGTATACTTTTTGAGTTATTCGGAATTTAATTTTACCATCCCTCGTAACTTTTTTTCCAGCTTCTTTTCGTTGAAGTATGTAATATAGATAAATTTAAAAGGTGTCGAGAAAATGACTTTAGCGAAGTTTCATTGAAATCGATACATTCGTTTACAGTCTATAGCAACGCAGGTTTTTCTGCATTTTTATTTTTAAGCAACATGACCAGCCCAACTAAGCCGCCCCAGTTTTATAAACTTTACAATGTCCATATCTCCGTAAAGGTCATAAAGCTCCCTGTTCCTCCTAATCCTCCATCCATCTCCATCTCTCAATGGGCCAACTATTAGCCATAAGATTTTTTTTTCGAAAATCAAAAGATTATTTTCATCACTTCTTGAAATGGTCCAGGATTGCGAAGCATAGGTAAGAACTGGGCGTATAAGAGTCTTGTATATGACCAGTTTAGTGTTCCTGGTAATGGATCTGCTGCGGAGAGTTTTCAGTAAGGCAAAATATGGCCTATTTGCTGCCACCAGCTTTTTCCTTATCTCAGCAGAGACATTGATTATTGGAATTACTAGAGATCCCAAATACGTAAACTCGATTTTTTGTATTTTTTGTATTTGTATCACCCTTTGGAATGTGTAAGGGTCAACACGCAGTGCCTTGTCGCCACTAGTCACTGTGTGCATATATACGTTTTATTCTCGTTTATGGCCAATTCCATGGCTGAAGCAGCGTCCATGAGTTTCCTTAAGGCCTTTACCAATGCCGATCGTGATGTGCAAATACTTTCTCTGGTCACTGTACGTTTTCAGATTATTAAGACCACCCTGTATTACATTATCTTTAGCATTTATATTTCTTATAAATGAATTTTATGTTTCGCATACATTTTTATATGTTAAAATTATTCTTTCTTAGTATTACTAACATAATCAAACAATCAAAAATCTAGGAAATATGCCAATAAAGGAGCCCGATTCTCTACTATTGAGCTATAAATGTACCCTATAATAGAAAAAGATTAGGGACTCCTGACCTAGCCTATAAATAAAAACAACATACTTCTGCAAGGTTTCTAGAGGATTCTCAACGGACAGCGTTATTACACACTCTTCCCTGGCTGTTGCAGTCGACCACAAAGTTCCCTCCAACAACGGTTCAGTACTCCTCCCTTCCAATTTGACAACCATCTCTTTGGGTTGGGTAGGAATCACAAGAATTCCCTAAGAAAAAATGTGCATGTCAGATGTCTTTTTATTATATGAGCCTTTCAGTTGACAGAATGACTAACTCCAATTTCAACATTTTTGGTATTAGTTTTAATGATATTTCTAGTGGAATAATTTATAATTTTATTCACAATTAAATATTTCAACACCGCAATCACATACTCTGGAATCAACTTAGTCACTGTTTCTATAGATATTATAGATTTTCCAACTAGAAATATCACTGAAATGACATTACTCAAAAATGTTGAAATTGGAGATCATTTGGAAGCCATTCTGTCAACTGAAAGGCTCATATTTACTTCATATTCCAAAAAAAAATAAAATTTGACTGATTAGAAAAGTAAAATGGCAGATGTTTATAGTTAACCTTATGCGTTTTATCATCCTTTGTCATAGTAAGAGGTTTGTAAAGTACAGTATAATTTATAATAGATTTTGGTAAAACTTCTAAAGTAGCTTCACCGCTGAAATATTGGCCAGTGATAAGTGGTATGAGAGACCAAGTTTTCAGCGTCCTGGAAAAAAAAAAAAAATAAAGTATCAACTAAACCATCAATCAGTAATGTTGGAATCCAAATAGGTCAATGTATCAAAATAATAAATGTATTTAAGTTTCATAATGGTTGCATAATTATTTTAGATGAATGGACCGATTATTTATTGACTTCAAGTCGGCCTACGACAGTGTTGAATTGTATCAGGCTTTGTATGATCTCAATATTCTCTCCAAATTAATACGGCTCAGCAAAATGACGATGGAAGAGACAAAATGCATAGTGCAGAGTTGATCAGACAAAGAATTTGATTCCAGTACAGGACTTAGACAAGGGGATGTGCTATTTTGTCTGCGGAATCTGGAATACAAAGAACAGGCACAATTTTCAACATTTTATTGTTGCCAGGTCCCAAAACTGCACTGTAGGAAGCACTTCTTCAACCAGGAAAGGCAGCGAGTTTGGACTTGCTGTCAATGAAATAAGAACTAAATATATACAAGCTGGAGCAGATAGTTTTGAGAAATGAGGACGGGGTGGCCGAACAGGTGTTAAAGAGTGTGCACAGCACTGTAGTTGCCCGGCAACCTGATACATGACTAATTGATAAAAATAGTCAAGAGTTAGAGTCCCGGTGCTAGTGGAGTCTTTTAAATCCCCGCCCTCACTCCATAGCCTGGGAAAACCTCGTATAGCCTTAAAGGCGAGGAAGAGGAGGAGAAAAAAAAGAAAAAATCGTTTCGGGAAAGAGCATACTGAGAATGGGACATACAAATTTGAGAGGGTGTAGTATTTTGCGTACTTTGAATAATAAAAAAATTTGAATGGTGATATATCTCACGATATTAAATGTCAGATTGCAGCAGTTAATAGGAGCTATATTTTGGCCTCACAAAGTAATTTAAAGACCAACTATGAAGTTATTACCAATGAAGCCAAAATGACACTTTACAAGTCCTTGCTTACCGATATCAATTTCGGAAAAGAAGTTACTGAGAAGAATTTTTGGTACTATATAGGAAGGTAATGCCTGAAGGAAAAGAAAAAATCGGGAGATCCACACACTCTTCAAGAACACAGATGTTGCCTTGATTGATCAGTGTGAGGAGCCTCGGATGGGTGGGACATCTTGCCAGAATGGATGTGAATTAAATTTAAAAAAAAAAAAAAAAAAAAAATAGAAATGGAAACTGTCCATTGAGCTAGGGACGGCCAAAAATGAGATGGCTGGATAGTGTCAACGCAGGGCAGGTGCCAAGAATATTAGAATAGAATAGAATAGAAAAAAAAACTTTATTCTGGGACTAAGTCCCTTCAGAATAACAATAATGTACAAAATAATAGAATATTACTGGCCTGAATGTTGAAACAATAAATAAAATTGATAAAATAAAATAAAAAGTAAAGAAAACCTTAGGTGCACAAGCTATATACAATACAGATAAAACTATGTACAGAGCATTTAAAATTATGAACAAAACAATTAAAACTATGACCGAATCACTTGAACTATGAACAAAATTATATTTAAGGGTTGAACAACATAAACATACACTTTGAGAAATGAAGAACGAAAAAGAGATACAATGAGTTCATTTCATATAAAAAAAAAAAAAAAAAAAATTTACTTGAATATATATATATATAAATAAACAGTTACTTATAATTGAATAAAAAAAAAAAAAAAAAAAATGTATGTATTGAAATTCCTACGTCGATAGTAGGAAATGCATGTACTATCTCTTACCAAGTGTTATGATTATATGATTGCTACACAATACATATATAATATTAATAGTTAGCTGGTATCTGACTGTTTTTGGAACAGGAATTGGAATAGGAGGTTTTTGAATGTGTACAGGGAAGGGGCAGGTCGAATTTTGATCGGGAGGGAATTCCAAAAGTTGACAGAGCGGGCTATAAAGGAATTTTGGAATGAGGTAGATCTATGAGAAGGGATGTATAGGTCAGAGGGTCGGGATCTTGTAGTGAGTGAATGGATTGAGGACTTAAATTGGAGAAGGTTGTAGGCATAAGAAGGACGATGATCGGTAATAGAAATAGAAAAATAACTTTATTCTGGGACACAGTCCCTTGAGAATAACAAATTAGAACAAAATTAAAATATTACATCTCAAATCTATTTATCCTTTTCTCCCGCTGAGTTATTGGTGGCATTTGCCAAAATTCCAACTGATTTGATGTAATGATTTGATAAAGGAAAGTGCCAAGGAAATATTGTCTTCTTAAGGAGGGGAAGAGCCACCCTAACTCAGTGTAGTGGTGGGAGACACAGGAGCGTCTCGGGGTTCCAATTACAAATCTTACGAAGCAATTCATAAGTCTTTTGAGTCTATCACGCAGTTTCACCGAGAGGCCATCGTACACCACACAGCTGTAGTCAAAATGGGGAAAGATGAGAGAGGAAACTAGGAGTCTACGGGTATTTTGGGGTAGAAGATGGCGGAAGTGATGGAATAGTTTGAGGGTAGAAATTGCACAGCGGGATATATGAGAGATATGGTGATTCCAGGAAAGGGTTTGATCTATGAGAAAGCCTAAATTTTTAACAAAGGGATAGAAGGTGATGGGGTGGTTGTTTAGATAGAGTGAGGGAAAGTTGGTGTGGGATCTAAGAAGGGGCTTGGAACCAATGAGAATGGCCTGAGTTTTGGCAGCATTTAGCCTTAATCCATTTAAGTTGGCCCAGGCACTAATTCGATCTAAATCTTCTTGAATTTTGGCAAATGCCACCAATAACTCAGCGGGAGAAAAGGATAAATAGATTTGAGAATCGTCGGCATAAAGGTGGTGGGAACAATGGATAATTGAATCATTTAGGTCATTAATATAAGAACTGAAAAGAAGAGGAGACATGCTTGAACCCTGTGCAACTCCTGAGGATAAAGGAAGGTAGGCAGATAGAGGTTGATTAGGTATGGAAACTGCTTGGGTTCGTTGTGAGAGGAAAGACTGGAACCAAGAGATGGAACTGTTGGAGAAGGATAATGATTTTAGTTTGTTGAAAAGGATGGAATGGATAATGGAATCGAAAGCTTTGGAGAAATTAAGACGTATAAGTATGGTTAGTTTTTTGTCATCTATTGCAGTCTGGATATCACTAGTAATTTTAATCAGAGCAGATTGTGTAGAGTAGCCAGGACGGAAGCCAGATTGGAGAGGATCGAGTTGGTTGGATTGTTCAAGGAAGTTGGAAACTTGGGATTGCACTAACTTTTCTAGGGGTTTAGAAAGATTGGAAAGGATTGATATTGGGCGGAAATCTTCGGGAGAGGATGGATTAGGCTTTTTGTTTAAAGGAAGGACAATGGCTTTTTTCCAAGAGGTCGGGAATATTGAATTCTGCAGGGAGAAATTGTAGATGAAAAGGAGTGCTGGGAGGATTTCAGGGAGACATAATTTTATTAGTTTGATAGGAATGCCATCTGGGCCTACCAAATTGGAACAGGATTTCATTATAACGGTAATAAGGTCTGTGGGAGAAATGTCGGAAAAATAAAAATTATTGTCGTTAAAAGGCACCTCTGGAGAAAAGCCGGAAGGGGATGGTAAAGAAGAGGTGGAAACCGATATAAAGTGGGAGTTTAGGTCATCAGGTGATATTGGGAAAACTGAGGAAGGGGATCTAGAAGGTTCACAGAGGGAAAGCTTACGAAGTAGAAGCCATTTTGATTTGGTATCAGGAACTGAGGAAAGGGCTTCGTGAAAGTAGTTTGCTTTCGCTTGTCGGATCCTTGTCTGTGTTGTGTTACGAAGCACTCTGAATATTTGATAATCATCTGCAAGCCTAGTCCGTCTGAAGCGTCTGCGTGCAGCGTCGCGTCTCTTCTGCAGATCCTTAATTTCCTGACACATCCAAGGAGCAGGACGATGACGGAAAGTGGAGGTTTTGAGAGGAGCGTGGGTATTGAGTATATTGAGAAGATTGGTGGTGAGAATATCAACCATGGTGTCGACAGAGGAGCAATGATATATTCCATTCAAATCCAATGTTACTAGATCAGGTAATATTTTTTCTCGAGTAAGGGTATCCAGTTGGCGGAAAGTGATAGTTCGAGGATGGATTGGAGGAGTGCGGATATTATACGTTATTTGTATCAGATCATGAGATAAAAGAAAGGATACTGGCAATTGAGAGGCGGAGAGGAGGTTTTGTGCTGAGTCGATGATGTAGAAGTCTAGCCAAGTGTCAGATCTGCTGGTGTGGTGGGTGGAGGAAAAAGGAACGATGAATAGGTGAAATGAGAAAAACAGATTTTCTAAATAGGATTTGTCATTGGATTTTGAGAGGAAATTGGTATTGAGGTCACCGGAGATAATTATTCTGGGATAGAGGGGAACGAAGTTGAATAGAGTTGATATTCTTATATTCTTGAAATAACGGAAAGGATGGCTGTTGTGCAGAGTAGGGATGAATGGAAGGACCTTCTGGAGAGGGCCCTGATTCAGCAATGAATTGCAGCGCCATACATGAAATGAATGGTCCAAGAAGATGAACAGTATAGTTAGAAATTTCAACCAATGAAGTTGAAGAAATAAAACAAGAGTTTAATTCTTAAACAATACATTATGCAAAAAGCGTTATAATAAACTTAATATACCCTTCAAAAAATAAACTTGAATTGTTAATAATAATTTAAATTAATTTATGCTTGCCTATTTTCAACAGAAATGCATCGGATATTTTGTTGTCTCACTGGACATAAAAATTTAAGAGTTTTTAGCTGTACACCAGGAGGAAACGGATATGTAATAAGAGTTAATTCTAAAAACCCATCCTTTCCTTCCTCAATACATTTCACCTGCAAGCAACAATTTAAAAATAGGAATCAGAACTTCTGATAATAAACGGAAAATGAAATATAAAATAAATATTAAAACCTTTGCTGATAAATAATCTGTAATAAACTTTAAACAGCATATAATATTTAAAATATAAGGAATTCTGGGCAAACACTCTCCTCCCAGAGGTTCAATCTTAAACATTTTTGGAAGGTCACTTGTATCCAATTTAAATCTGAAAAAAAAAAGGGACCATAATATATTACTTACAAAAATATGAAAATCAATGACATTTACCTCAAATTTTGATTATAAAAAATTAAATTAAAAACTTTTAAAACCTAATATAATGAATTACAAAAAGTATAAACCTTGTAGGAATATTTCCACTATTAATTATTGCAACTTCTTCCCTATGAAGTGTCTTTCTAAAATGTGGAAAAAAATTAATTGTTTTTCTATCAAATGCAAGTTTAGCTCCAACACAGTGAATCGTCAAGCTGTAGAGTCTAATTTTGTGTTCGTGACAAGTCGCCCAAACCTACAAACATTAACGATAATTAATCATAATCAATCAGTTCACACCATATTTCTGACACACAGGGAGAAGGGGAGTTGTACTAGAGGTTACCAACCTATTCTAACCAGATTGGGAAGGTTGAGATTCATTCAATGGCTCCGCCACAAAACAAATTTCAACCTGCCCAAGACTGATTCCAACAAGCCTAGCTAAGCTAGACTCGAGAATGTTAAAATGGGCAATGCTTGACCAAACTTATATAACATAAAAGGATAACAGCAGGACCCTTTCCAGCCACCAAGCTATCGGTTACCATGGTTTCTCCATTCTCTTACTTCCAGACTCTTTTCGGCTACATTCTATTATATATTAGTATACACTACATAATTTATTTAAAGTTATTACCTCAAGACCTGAGTAATCGCCAAAACTGAAACATTTTATGTAAACAGATATTTTGAATGGGAAATTTGGTCTCAATTCTATTACAGTAGGATCCAGTTTGATTTCAACCAGTCCTTCATATTCATTTTTAACTTTAAGATTTATGTTGAACATCGTATTGGTAGGATTGATAATTTCTGTTTCTTCTATGATTAATTCATTGACCCCAATTTGGTCAAAAGCAATAATACCTTTTGATGGTTTAACAACATCAACCTGAAATTATAAAAAAAAAAAAAAAAATGAATTAGAAGTTATCATTTAAATATTTGTACATTTTAAAATGATTACTATTAATTTATTCATTATTGTAGTATTATAAAAGTTAAGTTAGGTTACAGCTACTTCATAGATAATAACTGAATATCATTTAAACTAGCGGTACCAAATCCAACCCCCAACAGGTTTATTATCCTCTGATAACACAGCATTCAGGACTTGAAGAGGCTTCATACAGCATAACACAGTCTTTGCCATCTCCTTCCATTCAAAACCCGTCAACTCTTGTTTTCCTCTCTTGTTTTTCTCCACTTGACTATGGCTGTATGGTGTATGGTGGATTCTCGGGAGAATTCAAAAGCCTAATGAATTGTTCAATATGTTTTGTTTCGGCTCAAGAGATACACATATTACCAAGTATTACACTATGTTGAATTGGCTATATCCATCGTAACGTCAGTACTTCCTTGCTACCTTTCTATATCAGGCCATCAGAACTCAGCAACCCTTCTATATTTTCCATTCTGGAGTGGTGCTACCAGTGGATAGTTTCTCAACAGGCATTTTCACGTCATTATACTGCTGTGTACACATTTACTAGATGTATTTATATTATAATACAGTTGTAAATATCATGAATAAATAAATTTAAAAAAAAAAATCCTACATTCAATCCCGTATGTCCAACATCTATCCTCCTCCTCACCTATCAGCTGCGTTTGACAAATCCTTTGTAATTCAAGCCATCTGGAATTCTATTCCTCCCCATATTCGTCACGCACAATCAGTTTCTTCTTTGAAATATCTTCTCTTTAGGCACCTATTCCATTCCCAATCGAAATGATCACGAAACACACTGTAAATAACCTACTGAAAGTTAATTGTAAATGATTAGTTTTGGCAGGAATAAGCGAATAGCCTTCCGCTTTTAAATTGGGGCTTTAGGTTATTTACACTCGTAAATTATTAAAACAAAACCCGGCACTGGATATAGACTTTTGAGGGTGTTTAACTGTTGTTGGGAATCTAATACTTTTGTGGCACTTTGTGAGAAGAAACAATAAGAACATATACATATATATAATGTGGGACTTAGTAAATACACTTTGAATGAATTGACTCATCTGGTTTATTCTTCAATTGTGAGTCCTATAGGACAACTAAATAAAATGACTATTCACTTCTGTCTAAGAAAACAAATTTATTTTAACAACTGATAATAAATGAATATATATAAGTGAACGGTCGGCTTGATATTCTTGGTATTCAATGTAGTAAGCCTCTCTTCCCAGATGACGTCTTCTCGTGTCCCTGGTCGGACCTTTTTTCTTCTTTTTTCGATTGTTTATCGATATGAGATTTTCCAATGAGCAATTTGTCCACTGCACAATTGAGTACAATTCACAGTGCAACCTCACATTCCTTTATATTATATATTCCTTCTCATTCCCTCACCTAATGTCACACAAAGGAGTGAATACCGGGGGATGTCTACTACAACACGTAAGAGAACTCTTAAAGTACTCCCAGAAACTATTTTGTTTACTTATTTTATTTTATTTTTATATATATTTTTTTTTATATACATGTATGTTTATTCTTTCTCTCTGTATCATTATTTTTAATTATCTCTTATTTTGTAAATGTTTAATTTAATGTATGACCAAACTGACATGTCTTCCATAGAAACTGCCTACTAGGTTAATTCCATACTTATTCTATATGATAATGAGATAACAGCAAGCCGAAATAAAGATAACAATTAAAACACTCTAGTAATATAAAATATAGAATAATTTAAAAATATACCTGGAAGGATTCGCCTTTGCCCAATAGAACAATTTCATCACGTAAAGTGTTGTTTACGTATAACTCTATTTCCTCTTTATATTTTCTTTTATCTCTTGGAAAGAAATGTATCGGGATGTCAATAGTAGATAAAGGAGGAACACTCGAACATGGTAATTCGATTTTAAAATTATCTTCAAATAGATATATTAAATCAATCCTTCAAAAATGTTTTTAAATAAATTTTAAAATTTTATCACAGGTATGAAAAACTTAACATTAATAAATAACTTAACATACAGCAGCATTTGCATGTCAAGATTTTCAAACCGAAGATTAACCGTATGATAAACATCATCGCTGGTTTGTACCAATTGAGTTCCAAAATTATATTCCTTGAAGCTTAATCTGTACAAAGGATCTTTAGATGAGCCGCAGAAGAAAATTGTATAAACTGGGCCTTTGAAAATCTGAAAATTGAATAGTATTTTAAGCAATGTATAAAAGTTACATAAGTATCTACGCATAATGTTAATCAAAATTTAATAATAATTTTATAAATCTCCTTTTATTTTTCATTTAATTACAATCAATTAATATTTAAACTAAAACATATTGTAAGTATTAACTTTTCACAAAAAGAATAATTACAATAAGAAATTATGACTATGATTAACTAAAGAACACAGTTCATTCATTTGTAAACAGATCGCATTACAAAAGAAACTAAATATGAGAAGAACTAATTAATCAGTTGTTGAATGAATTAGTTCACAAAGGAACCATTAGAATGTGCTAGGTGCGCTAGGTTGTGAGTAATTTACCAGGGCTGGGCGATGGTTTTCCACTATTGATATTACTGAAGGTATGGTAACTTCCTGACACAGACTGGTAACTTTACTGTATTCTTTAGTTATTTACTTTAAAATGCTGCATAAACTTTATAATATTTAATTTCTAATAGTTGACCGTTGCATTATAAAGGAAGGAGATGGTCCAGGGTGGCGATCATAAATAGGCTGAATAGTGGTAAAACTATTTTATTAAAAGCCAATGTTTCGAACCGACTTTGCAGGTCTTCTTCAGGAAAGAGTTTCACTTAAAACTCAACTTCAGTTTGTAGTAGACATCCCCCTGTATTTATCCCTTTAGATGACAATGTGTGAGGGAATGAGAAGGTATATATAATATATAGGAATGTGAGGTAGCACTGTGAATTGTACTCAATTGTGCAGTGGACAAATTGCTCATTGGAAAATCTCACATGGATAAAGAATCGAAAAGAAGAAAAGGTCCGATCAGGTAGCTGGCAACAGATGGCAAGGAGGACGCCAAACACTTAAGGCCTGGACACCAACACAAGAAGACGTCATCTGGGAAGAGAGGCTTACTACATTGAAGACCAAGATTATCAAGCCGACCGTTCACTTATATATATTCATCTATGATCAATTGTCAAAATAAATTGTTTTATTATACCGGAGTGAATAGTCCTTTTATTTAGTTGTCCTATGGGCCTCACGATTGAGGAATAAACCAGATGAGTCAATTCAAAGTGTTTACTAATTCCCACATTTCATATATGTATTCTTATTGTTTCTTCTCACACAGTGTCATAAAAGGTAATACATCCCCGAATTCCCAATCACAGTTAAACACCCTCAAAAAGTCGATATCCAGTGCTGGGGTTTTGTTTTAATAATTCACGAGTGTAAATAACCTTAAAGCCCCGATATAAAGCGGAAGGCTCTTCACCCATTGCCGCCAAAACTAATCATTTAAAATTAACTTCCCGTAGGTTATTTACAAGTTTTAAGTGAAATTCCTAACTGAACACACCTCCCTGAAGAAGACCTGCAAAGACGGGTCAGAAAAAAGCCAAAACCCAAATCCAAAACTACAAATACAATCCATCCATTTACATGTCAGTCGGCAACTCAAACGTTTAATGTTTGAGTCATAACACTATTTCAATCGTCCTTCAGGACATAAGTATTCATTAATTTAATAATCATATAAAAAATTGTTATTATTTAAGTATCACTGCTGTTAGTGCAAAAGGTCCTATTTAAAAATATTTTATTTTTATTCTATATGTGCTAAAGGTGACATTTTGTAGCCTGAAACTGCTATAAATAGTACTACGAAAAATAGCTGGGGAGAATAAAATACGAAATTATACTAGTAAATCATAAAGAAATAATCAGTTTCTTTGCTCTGCTGCAAAAAAAAACCTCAATTTTTACATACGATTTTTTACACTAACAGTAGCGGTATATTACTTAGTCTTAAGATAAATGAGACAATGCCATCAATAAAGTTTTGAAAAATTGAGGGGAGCCAAATTGAAGATTAACAGGCAGGATTCCACTCCGGAACGCAGATTCAGAACCCCATCACAGTCTTAAGAAATATTTCTCAAAAGGGTTCAGGGCAGAGATAATAGCATTAATATGGCTTTCCTAGACCTAAAGACTGTGTTTGATTCTGTTTCTAGGTATGAAATATGTAACACCACCACCCCGTAAAATAGTTTTGCCACTATTTAGCCTATTTATGACCGCCACCCTGGACCATCTCCTTCCTTTTATAATAATAAGGAATGAATTTTATAATTCATAATATTTTACATTTGTATTGAATACATTCTTAAAGATTCATGTTAAAGCAATAATAAAAATTATTAAATGAATTATTTAAAAAATTATTGACGGGAAGAATATACATTTTTATAGAAAAATAAATCGTACTTATTGCCCTGATTGTTGAATTCAGACAAGAAACATCGACGACATATAGATACTATTGTTTTAAAAATTAGGTTAAAAAAGGAGGCGAGAAATGTGTTTTTTTTTTAATTTCCAAGATTCTAAATTTAATTTGCTAATAACACCTAGTTTAAAATATAATGAAACGGCAATGGCATCCTTGTAGATTTTATAATTATTTTTTTATGAAAAAAAAAATGAAGTAAATGCAACATTTTTTTCATCGGCACAACTGGAGTTGTAAAAATATTTCTAAGGAAGTAACTTGAGATTAAATTATTTTTTTCCTTGAAGGTTTCTTATTGTTCAATTAAGTTTCAGCTTTATACTAATTAGAATAGTTTTAAACATACCTTCACACTTCTATCCATTAATTTTCTTAATGTGGCATTCCAATAAACAGATAGAAGAATGAAGGCGTGTCATTAAAATTATTCTTTTAAGTATACAAAATTTTAATATAATTTGTGTCTAAGAGGAGGATACGAGCTATTGAGTCACTAGAACTATCGACTATCGCCTATCCCTATAATTTACCATTCTACCTCCGACGGAGACAGACATCCCACTCCGTATCCTCTTATACATCATACCTTTCTCTTTATACATTCTCTTTATTGCCAAATATATGTTGATGTAACACTTTTAAAATATAATTAAAACATATTACAATAAATTGGATAAAATATAATATTTTTTTATGTGTGAATATACGCTTTTAAAATGATTCAGGTTTATAAAATAACAAAAATATGAATGTTAAGTTTTTTTAGCAATTTAAAAAGCCCCTAATTAAAATTACACAATATATTACACAATATCGATATACTGGTGTAATTAGTTTTATGAACGAAACCTTAGAGTATAAATGAAAAGTAAATATTTTAAATAAGTACCTTTAAAACAAACGGTATATTTGTGAAATCATTTTTTTCAAGAACAGTTACTTTCATAGAAGTAGAAAATTTAGTGTGGGCAGGAACAATTTCTTCATATGGATTTATTTCAATATCTAATATTTTTGTTGCATTATCTGAAAAAACCCATTCATAGTTTATCGCAACTTTTCCTTTATTCGATATAACAAAAATGAAAAATAATTCATCATTCACCAAAACCTAAAAAAACAAAACATTAAATAAATTAAACAATTCAAACACAATTTATTTATTTTTATTAATATTAGGTATTTGTAATTTCACCTTTCCAATGTTAATAAAATTGTTTTCATTCTCTTTTAATAAAATAGTTTCATTTATGTTGTTGCGGTCAATTAAACAGCGTACGTCAACTTCAACATTCAAACAATGAGTTATTATTTTATAACACCATCTTTTTTCTACATTCTCAAAACTCCAAAATGTTTTATATACATATTTTCTAGGCACATGAAGAATAGAAGAAATCCTTTGATGAAAAAGAAATAGATCATTTTAGTTATAAAATATTATAATGATATAAAGAGTGTTTCAGGGTTAAGAGGCCAAACTGAAAATATGAATTAAGGACCTCACAACAAGAAAAAAAATTCCTTTGACAGTATGTCAGCAAACGCTTTTTTTTGGAGTATCCACACCTAAAGATTTTCATTGTTATGAATTATTTACGTTGTATAAAATAAATAAAAACTTTTTATTTGTTCTGACTACTTTATTAATTAAAAATAACATTATATTCATATTAAATGTTGTTCTAAGTGAAGTTATGCCCTCAAACGCTTTTTATAGGAGATGGATTAGATTGTAAATAACATGTTTAAAGTTAGTTTTAAATAATAGTTTTGGCGGGAATTGGCAATAGCCTTCCGCTTTTATATCGGGGAACTAGGTTATTTACGAGCATTAAGACAGGCTCGGCATCTTTCTACAACAGCAGCAGTGGCAGAACGGCACTGGATATGTGATATTGTTTCACAAGATTCAATTATCCTTCTTCGTAAGCAATTAAGGTCATTGAACGAGCTTGCATAGACTTTTTGTTTAATGTCACCCCACACAAAAAATCCAGTTGTGTCAGGTCTGGGGGGCGTTCAGGCAAGCCACTGCTCCTGCACGGCCAATCCATTGATTGCAATAATGATGAGTACTCTGTGAAAGCCTCTTACAAACTGATAAATGTTATTGAGAGTTCCCAATACTAATTCCAAATTAGCATTAATCCTTATATATAGTATTAATCCATATAATCCATACATAGTATTAATCCTTATACTGCCAATAGTTTTTTTATACAGTTAGGAATAAAATACCATATTAGTATTCTATCTTGTAGTAGACATCCCCCGGTATTTACTCCTTTATGTGACATTTGGTGAGAGAATGAAAAGGAATATATAATATATAGGAATGTGAGGTTGCACTGTGAATTGTACTCAATTGTGCAGTGGACAAATTATTCATTGAAAAATATAATATCGATAAACAATCGATGAAGAAGGAAGCTGGAAAAAGGACAGAGCAGGTAGCTAGCTGCAGAAGGACGTCGAGAAGAGGAGAGAGGGCACTTGAGGCCTGGACACGAAGACAAGAGGACGTTACCTGAGATGAGAGAGGAAGGACATTGAAGACCAAGAATATCAAGCCTAAAGTTATAAAACTTTAATATATTCATTTATTATCAGTTGTTAAAATAAATTGTTTTGTTAGACAGGAGTGAATAGTCCTTTTATTTAGTTGAGATAAAATTATATTTATCTATTTTATTTTTCTAATAATTTTTATTTTTTTTTATTTTTATTTTTTTTTTTTATTATCTTTTTTACCATCATTACTTATGTTTCTCATACCTTGTTATCTGGTTATTTTCTTAGCCCTGATGAAAGCCTGAACTTCAAGTCGAAACGTCGGCATATGTAAAAATAAATATTATAATTTATTTTTGCCTTCCTTTTTGACTGAACACCCCAACTATTCTTCTCTTCATTATCCACGACAGTCAACCAATTACCAATTATGGTATTTAAACATTTATTTTTACCATTTATATCATTCAGTTGTTTTTTTTAAATTATTTATTTATTTATTGGCTTATAAACAGCGTAGACATGGAATCTGGCCCAATCAATGTTAGTTATAGTTAGTTTTTAAATAACAGGTACAATATAAGACATGATATAATAAATGAGGACAATATAAGGAGGAAAAAAGATTAATACATTAATATAAAGCAAATTGTTCAGATCAATATAAATTAAGTTTCACTGTTGATTAACTAACAAAAAAACTTAAATATATTTCTTTATGTCGCAATAATACGGTGTATTTGTTATCATTCTAATGGGTAACAAAATATGCGCTATATTTATATGATATAGCAGTGTTACTAATAAATTTATTGAAATTTTTTAGCTCAGGTGGAATGATAAAATTATCTTTCTACTACACATATTGCCATTATATTATTAGTATCTGAAAATGAACTGATGTTACGTAAATTTTGGTAACCTTTGATATTGTTAAATATTATCTTAAGTTAAAATTACTTTTAAGCTCAAGGAGCTTTTCTGAAATGTGACTGTTGAGTGAAGTAGATCTCGTTACGGAACTCGAACTCTTTTAATCTTTTATTTATCTTTCTTTTTTTCTGTAATTGGTTGTCTCGCTCGATTGTCGGTGAATTTTCTAACATATTTTCCACCTCCTTCAAATTGTAAATAACCTGTTAAAGTTAAAAGTAATAATTAGTTTTGGCGGGAATAGCGAATAGCCTTCCGCTTTTTATCGGGGAACTAGGTTATTTACACTCGTGAATATTAAAACAAAATCCTGGCACTGGATATAGACTTTTTGAGGGTGTTTAACTGTCGTTGGGAATTCGGGAATCTAATACCTTTGTGAAACTGAGTGAGGAGAAGAAACAATAGGAATATATGTGTGTGTGTGTGTGTGGGACTTAGTAAATACACTTTGAATGAATTGACTCACCTGTTTTGTTATTCTTCAATCGTGAGGCATATAGGACAACTAAATAAATAAATGACTTTTCACTCCTGTATAATAAAACAATTTATTTTACAACTGTAATAAATGAATGTATAAAAGTCTTATAAATGTAGACTTGATATTCTTAATCTTCATTGCAGTATCTCTCTCTTCTGACAACCTCCTCTCTTCCTGTCCAGGCCTAGCGTCCTCTCGTCTCCGTGTCACAGCCTCAAGTGCCCTTCTCTCCCTCTCTCTGGCGTCTTTCTCCAGCTGCTGTTACCTGACCGGACCTTTTTCTTTCTTTATCGATTGTTTATCGATATGAGACTTTTCAATGAACAATTTGTCCACTGCATAATTGAGTACAATTCACAGTGCAACCTCACATTCCTGTATATACCTTCTCATTCCCTCACACATTGTCATCTAAAGGAGTAAATACAGGGGGATATCTACTACAGAGGCGAGAGGAAGTTACCTGAGATGAGATTGGCAGGACATTGAAGACCAAGAATATCAAGCCTACAGTTATAAGACTTTAATATATTCATTTATTATCAGTTGTTAAAATAAATTGTTTTGTTAGACAGGAGTGAATAGTCCTTTTATATCCTATAGGCCTCAAAATTGAAGAATAATAAACAAGGTGAGTCAATTCTTTCAAAGTGTATTTATTCAGTCCCACATTATATATATATATATGTTCTTATTGTTTCTTGCCACGCAGTATCACGAAAGGTATTTGATTCCCGAATTCCCAACGACAGTTAAACATCCTCAAAAAGTCTATATCCAGTGCCGGTGTTTTGTTTTAATATTCACGAGTGTAAATAACCTAATTCCCCGATATAAAAGCGGAAGGCTATTGCCAATTCCCGCCAAAACTATTATTTAAAATTAACTTTAAACATGTTATTTACAATCTAATCCATCTCCTAAAAAAAGCGTTTGAGGGCATAACTTCACTTTGAACAACATTTAATATGAATGTTAATGTTTACATTTAATTAATAAAGTAGTTAGAACAAATAAATAGGTTTTATTTATTTCATATAACCTAAATAATTCATAACAACGAAAATCTCAAAACAATCAGTCCAGTAATCTCGGAGAAAAGCCATGGATGTACGGATTTTTTTTTATAGAATTTTTGGATTCTACATATCTTGAAATGAAAAACCTCAAATTTTTAGGGAGGGAGTTAACATTTTTTTTCTTGGTTGATAACAAATATTGAAAATAATAAACCGAAATTGAGGTCAACCCAGAATAATTAAATCATTATACTTTAAAGATAAACACTCACGTCACTTCATGAGTCATATTGGGCTCCAGTACACCAGAAGGAAGGTCAATGGATAACTTTTCATCTTCAATATCTGAGTATAAAGAAACCGGATCTACCTTATATTTAAATGCTACTTTTTCTTTATTATGAATCTTAATCTTGTTTTTAGCTTTCATACCTGCAACAAAAATTCAACTGAAATTATTTGCACTACATAGGGTTAACTAATAATATATTTCATGCAAATTTTAGCATGATCAAATTCAACCTGAAATAAAATAAAAAATATATAGAAAATTTTAATTTAGAAATGTAGTGGTCACTCGCTAATCTGAATTAATTAATATCAAAGAGGTTCAGTCAAGCAAAAAATTCTGATGACAGAACAGAAAAAAAAAGATCACTTCATAAATAAGAAATGAATTTAATACAGAAATTATAATATATGAGATTATGAATATACTCCCCTACAGATCTACAGGAGAGATTGAAAGAAAAGAAAAAGGATATAATATGAAATAATGGACATAAAGGGATGTGGAGAAAGAAAATTATAAATGTATTTACATAAAAATACTTTTACAATAATTAATCATTATTCATGGCAGCAAGATGTCGGATGGTCGAATGACAGCATAGAAAAAAAAAAAATTATTTTTAAACTAAGCACAGTCCTTTTTTTATCAAATTATTAACATCCGCCTAAAACTTCATGAATAGCTTCATCTCATCGTAACCTACAAATATTTTATTTACGAAAATTCTCGGAATAAAGGCATTTACAATATGGAGTTAGGAAAACTTTTGTATATTTAAATCTATATATATAAAAATGAATGTATGTCTGTCTGTCCGTCTGTTTGTCCTTAGTGCATTACTAAACCATTCAACCGATCACTATGAAACTTTGGGAAGTTGTTCCCTACACTCCTGGGAAGGTTTCTGGCATAGTACTTCTGTCTTACGATAATTTTATATATGTAAAAAAAAATAAAAATGTAAATGTTTTTCTGTTCAAAGCCGCAAAAAATGTGTCGCTAATAACTGTAGTGCCAAAACGGCTTTACCGATTTTAACGAAACTTGGCTAAAGTCTTCGCCTTGAAACCCTTTTAATTTATGTGCATAACATACTTTCCCGAAAACAAGCTGAAAAATGTTACGATGAATTCAATATTTTATTTGACGATAACTAAAAAAGTGACAATTTTTGACTGATAATATCCACATTTATTTGAAAGATTCCTGATTTGCCGACAAAATAAAAAAGTTGTCATCGAAATTGGACGGTTCGTTCCAGAGTTATTGAGTTTTAAACATTTACTGCTTTCTCTTCAGAAAAGGCTGTTTCCTTTTGCTTCCTCACTACCGAACGTCGGAAAGCATTTTTTTAAAATTTATTTATTAATCGAAAATTTTATAATTACTATGTAGTAATTATGTATTAATGTAGTAAATTAGTAAATTAGTAAAGTAGTAAATGAATTATTAGTAATGTAGTAATTGAAATTATCATTTGAAGAATTTATATGATTCTCATTATGTAGGTCAATACTATTATACGTTTTTTAAATTAATTTTTTAATTTAGTTTTATAAGTTCAACTCAGACTGTTTCTGATGATTATGAATTATGAATGTTCAATTTGAATCATGAGAAAAAAAAAAACAATTAGAATTAGTTTCAATTGAAGCCATTTTACAGACATATTTGTTTCCCAACTTTTTAAAAATGACAGATGTCCTTTGCTACTAATCTACTCATATGTGCTTTCTATTTTCTTTCATTTTCATTTTGCCAGGTTAAGACACAGCAGCGCGTGGCCGGGTAAAGCTAGTAGGTAATAATAACTCATGAATAACCATTTACTTTTCACTTGAATCGTAAGATACCTACAAAAATATTAATCCGTACAGCATGACCTTCACTCACAAAATAACAAGGTTATATACGTCAAACGGTCCAATATTTTTGAAGGTCACTTTTTTAAGTTTGTTTTGTGATCACATCATCTTACAATTCAAGTGGAAAGCAAATGGTTATTCATGAGTATTTAGTACCTAATTAAATCGACAAAGTTTGCTGATCTCCAGATTGAAAACGCCCCAATTCCTAGAATTTTCGTAAATAAAATATTTGTATGTTACAATAAGATGAAGCTATTCACAAAGTCTTAGGCGGCTGTTTATTTTAAATAAAAGGACTTAGTACTTGAGGTTTAGTAAGGTGTTGATAAAACGGTTTTATTGAATCTATGTATGTAAAAATGTACTGCATACATCAAATACATGACACAGATTAGCAAGGTTCAAATTAGTGAGAGTCCACTATAGATCAAATTTGTTGAAATCCTATATTGGATTTGATCACTCCTTAAACTTGGACAATGATTATCATCAATATGATTAAATAAATTACTCTCAAAGCTATTCTAAGTAACATAATTATGTAATTTTTTAAATAACAAATTAAAATTAAGATTATGAGACCATTAAAAAAAAATTAATAAATAATTTATATTTTAAATGTGCATCACCTACCTAAAATAACTGGATCCAAAGAAAGTATGTCAGGATCAAAAACTATATCTGGTGTTTTGGTTTCTCCAATAAATAGAAAGGCTTGTTCAGTAATATAATCTGGAATTTCCAAATGCCAAAGGCTTTGGTAAACTCCATAGTCTTGAGGATTAAATATCATTTCCAACTATAAAGAAATAAAATTTCATAAATCACACGCTTCAACGACAAGAAAAATTAATTTAAAAAATCGGACAGAGTTAAGTACTGAAACTTGGGACTATTTGGACACACCAAAAAAGATTTTGATCGGCAGGAAAGTAAAAAATTATGAAAATATAAACATGATTCATTAATTCTAGAAAACATAACACCAATAGGTCCTGAGAAACTTTCCCATGTTTCCACTATTTTTTTTTTTTTTCAGTTTGGGTCCAATTAGTTTCCTAGGGTCCAAGTTACACTACATATATTCCTCTATATGCCGAGTCAAAGTGGCTCTTTCCCTCTTCCCGCTACTTTATACTTCCTTGGAAATTTCTTATACCAAACGATCAACTCCCAGCACATTTCCTATATCTACTGTCTCCTCCAGCCTAAACCTTTAGTCCACTCAATAAAAACGAGATACCGTGATTCTGACCTCCATATTCCATTCCATAGGACAAAAACCTATGAACGTTCCTTCTTAGCCCACTCCTTTGCCTACTGGAATTCTTTGCCACATAACATCCGTCATGCCTCTTCCCTGCTAACTTTCAAATACCTCCTTTTCCATTATCTTCTTACATCCCAAATAGATGATTCGCAACCATAAATTTCATTTTATGAACTGAATTTGTGAGAAGTAAATGGTGGTGCCTATTGTTTAAGTTTTAACATAAAACAGCAATGATCTTTGTCACCCAGTTTGACTATTATTCTTACTATTTATTTGTTTTTCTCTTCGCCACAGATTGTGCTTTTTCTTTCGGGTATATATGTTTATATTATATACTTTTTGTAAACATTTGTAAACATAGTTCCTTTTTTTCCATTACACAACAAGTAATCCTGAGATTTTATTTTATCTTAGTGTTTGCATATTATTATATAAATCACTGTAGATATTATTACATTTTGTATTAAGTTATTTTTCTATTAGACAGCCTAGTATCTATAAATTGTGTAGTTATGTATATATGGATATGTAATTTCTTTTCTTTTTTTCCATCACAATAATAAGTAATTTTGAGATTTTATGTTCATTTATATATATATATATATATATATATATATTTTTTGTTTATTTTTTAGTGGTTAGATACTACTTTTTAAATAATGTATATAATGTTAGAATGTTTATAAGTTAGTCTTTGGCCAGATTTGTATTTTATTTTTGTAGTAATTCATCATTGTTATTCTAAGAGGACTTAGTCCCAGAATAAAGTTCAATTTTCTATTCTATATTCTTATATATAAAGCTAAAAAGTTTGTTTTTTTATTTACATCACTTTAGTACAGTTTTAACTCTATAGCAAGGGAGTTGGATTTAATGCATTATACATTTCAACCGTACACCTCATATTATAATCTTATTATCTTATATCTTATTATAATATAAATAGTAACATTTACTGTAACAACAGACATTAATAATCAAAATATTATAGTAGATGGCCTCTATCTACTCCTTTATGTGATATTGAGTGAGGGAATGAGAAGGAATGTAGGGTGGCACTATAAATTGGACTCAATTGCGCAGTGGACAAGTTGTTGAGTGAAAAGTACCAAATAATTGGTACAGCAGAACAAAGAAAGGAAGAAGCTTGGAAAAGTGTCCGGCAGGTGGCAGCAGCTGGAGGGGACACTGGAAGGACAAAGACTTCACTCGAGGCAAGGACATGAAGACAGAAGTACATGACGGCAGGAGAGAAGTCCACTCCACTGAAGATTAAGAAGATCAAGCCTACAGTTATAAGACTTTGATAGATTCATTACAGTTGTTAAAATAAATTATTTTGTTATACAGTAACTATGAGCTCTTAGCTGTGGAGAATAATTTATATAAAGAAAAATGTGTCCAGCTACAGAACGTTCTCACAAAATCATATCTATACAAGAGTGTTAAGAATATAAAGTAAGGGTGAATCATAGGAAAAAATAGTTCTAAAACATTTACCTTTAGTACAGATTGCTTTTCAAGATTACCAGAAACCTGGTGACAATAGAATCCAGTAGAAGAATTTTTGATTGTTGACACATTATTCTTATTTTTCCAATTATACGAAAATGAACAATTAGTTGCATTGTAAACATAGATTAGCCTATAAACAATTGAGAGTTAAATTAAATCATAAAAGTAAATTGAAAAAAAAACAATAAAAAATACAATTGTATAACAGAAAGAATATATTACTTATTGCGAATAAAAGACTTTGGTTCATATGTGGTAATTTTGATATATTTGACAGACGACTGAATGCTTAAAAGTTTGAATTCATCCTTATCAACTTCATTTATAAGTGCAATCTGAACAGGCGGTACATAACCGATTGTAGACAATGTAGTTCGAGGAAAATCCAGCAGCTTGCCGTCCATAATAATTCTAGAAAAAAAGGTTGATTCAAAGCTAAAGCTTTGAACTTCTTACTATAAATTAAATGTTTAGCAATGACTACACTAGATTTAGACAGTTTTTTTGGTACCTCACATTTGCAGAATAAACACCAGGCTTTGGTGGACAGAAAGTGAATTTCGCTTTAGTAATAGATTTAGCCAACAACATTTCTTGAATGAGTAGAGGACAAAATACATCGTTTAAGCAAACATTATCTATAAAATTAATTCAGTCAATTTTAATTAATACTGAAAATTCAGTAATTCTAGATATATTAAGTAACATTAGATTAAAAATTAGGCAACGGAAATAATTTATTCTTTCTCTTTTAATGAATAACCTTTTCATGTGATGAAATGAAAGGAGAGAGCTAATGTACCACCTCTGTAATACATCGAACCATCTATTTCTTTAATATACCAAGAAATACTAATCAAATGTCTTTGTAATATATTTAGACCTAGAGTTTAGAGCACTGGTTCGAATTTTATCTGTACAGTTGCATGTAATTTCAATTTTAATAATAATGCTTTATTGAATTATAATACAAAACTTTACAATGAAAAATACAAAACATTTTGCAGTATGGAAATCCATCTGCCGTTTAATACAAATGTTACAGGTACTTAACTAATAATTGTTGTCATTTCAAAGTTGTTTATTAAAAACATGGTATATAAAGACATAATAATAATAATCTAATATATTAATGAATAATTGTATTAGAATTAAAGAAAAAATTTTATTGCAATGAGAAATATAAATGTAGAATAATAAAAATAAGGGATAGTGATTGATTTATTTTTAAAGAACATTATTAAAGGAAGGCGAGACAAATTTACAAGAACATAAACAAAAATGCCTAAAATGAGATTAAACATAAATTTGATGAACCTTACTTATGTTGTATGGATCAAATAATAACGATGAGATTAAGACATTCATTTACAGAGGGAGCACATTAAGGAGAAAAATCAAAATTGTAAATGTATTTATACATGTAAGCACAATATGTAATTGTAATGTAATTACAGTAAGTTGCATGGAATTTAAATTTTAATTACTCAACATTCAATATTAATTTAATTAAGAGCCTCAATCACAATTATTGAGCACGTTGAAATTTATTTTGGATAACTTGGAATGAATTTTGACCTTTTCATTCTAGTTGGTTATATATTAGTATTTCACTAACGGTTGGCCAATAGTTAAAATCGGCTAATAACAGTTTACCGACAACTATTCCCAAATGATGGGACAACCAAAACCAGAATGGTTCCACGATGCGTGCTCATTGAGTCCTTTTTTAAATATTAGATCATCATCATTTTGAGTGAGGGTACATATTGTAGTAGATGGTCTCTAGTATTTACTCCTTTATGTGACATTGTAAATAACATATTAAAAGTTTAAATGTAAATAATTAGTTTTGGCGGGAATTGTGAATAGCCTTCCGCTTTTATACCGGGGAACTAGATTATTAGAGTGTAAATAACCTAGTCCCCCGACAAAGTGGAAGGAATATTTACAATTGCCGCCAAATAGGCTATTTACAATTAACTCTTAACAGGTTATTTACAATGTTTCATATTCTTAGGAGGACCTATTTCTCAAATATCAGACCATGCTCATAATTTGGAATGAGGGTTGTCTCACAACTATAAAGGAGAACCAACTGCATAAAGGTTTTGTAGAATTGGACCACGGTACACCAAAATAAGAGGTGGAGACAAAACTGTGCGAACTCTGTTCAATTGACCAATTAATGCCAAGAATACTTCCGAGATGTTCAAAATTGAATCTCTGATGGCAACATCGTTTGCATAAACTAGAAACAGAATTTGTTTATAAAATATTGTTTTATTGATCTGCATCTTTGCTTGCATCATTCATGAAAGTTTTATCATTAAAGAGTACCGGTAGTATAATTAGTCGGTATTTTAAAAACAAATCTTAAAACACTAAAAAAAACTAAATATTTGTGAATGCTCATACCAGGAAAAACATGATTCATATTGAAAAAGCGTATTTCATCAGCAGGATCATCACTTACTATGGTATCTATAGGCATTTTTACAAAACAGATGTTATCTAATAAATTATGCTTATAATCAATTTCCTTAAAACTTATATCTTCTAATTGAAATATAATATGGCAGCTTGCTTCAGATGTATTTTCTAAAAATAATACTTCTTCTGAATGCTGTAACAAAATAAATAAATAGAAAAAAAAAATAGCAAAATTATTCAAAAGATTAATCTATAGAATTGCCTGCCAGTTTTTGACCAATAAAATTCAAGGGAATTGTTTGGTCCATTTAAAATGTTGGGTTATAGAAGCACACACACATATATATATATATATATATATATATATATATATATATATATATATATATAAAATGTTGGGTTATAGAAGCACACACACATATATATATATATATATATATATATATATATATATATATAAAATGTTGGGTTATAGAAGCACACACACATATATATATATATATATATATATATATATATATATATATATATATATATATATATATATATATATATATATATGTATACATATACATATATATACATATGGGGGTTGGGGTAGCCGTACGGGCTAAGGCGCTTGCAATAGGTAATCAAAGTGAAGCAACGAACGTCAAGCGTGGTTAGTACTTGGATGAGTGACCATCCACCAGGGAAAGCTATGCTGCCCGAGTCTCCCCTCCCCCCGGTATGTGAGGCCTGTCAGTCTACTGGAGGCAACTTACACCAACCGGGTGTAGGACTGATGACCCTACCCCGTGTACTTAAATCGGGAACCAGGATGTTAGTAGCCCCTCTGAGTAGTGGCCCCCTTTTTTGTTTCATCATTACAAAGGCAGGGAAACTTCATATTCATGAGGGTTAAAAAAAAAAATGGGGAACAATATTGAAAATGTCTATTCGTGTTTTACATTTAAAACATCAAGGAAGAAATTTGGTTCTGTCTGCCAGTAGTGAAATATAAAAGGCATATCACCTACTACCATTCATCTGAGTACATAAAATTTTCAGAGATTGGCATGGTATCTGGATACTGGATTGGTTCCATATAATTCCATCTTTCGCTTCAATTTTTCCTTAAGAAGATTATATAGAAAGGTTGGAGAGAGTTATGAAAAGTGGGGGTTGACTATTAACTTCATGAAAACGGAGCACCTTGGCACTTCATCTGATGACACGCTAATTGAAAGAGGTATAAAATCTATAGAGAAATTTAAATACAATATTTAATAGAGAAGGTACATCCACCAATGATATTGACAGAAGAATTGGTGAAGGAAGAGAGGTCACAGCACTAATCAACAGTTTGCTTTGGAGCTCGAATATACAGCCCAGTACAAAGAGGCTAATATAGAATAGAATAGAAAATAATTTTATTCTGGGACGAAGTCCCTTCAGAATAACAAAAAAATACAGAAATTAAAATTTTACATCTGGCCAGATAAAAACAAACATAAAAAGTAAAGATAAAGATAAATCAGTAAAGAAACAAAAAAAAATATTAGTTATACATAATATATACAAAATAAAATAAAATAATCTATATACAAAACTCTCGAAACCATACTAAGATACTTAAAACTATGTACAATGGTAAAATATAAATAAACCTTTTAGAAAAAATACAAAAAAAAAAAAATAAATGTAAATTCTTCTTAACAGTAAAATCTGTTTTTCTGTTGAAAAAAATAAAATAAAATAAAAAATATGTAATTTTACATAAAAGGTTAGCTGCTATCTGACTGTTTTTGGAATAGGAGGGTTTTGAATGTAGATAGGGATAAAGAATGTCAGATTTTGATAGGAAGGGAATTCCAAAAATTAACAGAGCGAGCAATAAAGGAGTTTTGGAACGAGGCAGGTCTGTGAGAAGGAATGTAAAGGTCGGAAGGTCGAGATCTTGTGGAGAGGGAGTGGATTGAGGACTTGAATTGGAGAAGATTGTAGGCGTAGGAAGGACGATGATTGTTGATGATATGATAGAGGAATGTACCTAGGAAATATTGTCTTCGAATGGAGGGGAAGAGCCACTCTAACTCAGTGTAGTGGTGAGAGACATAGTAGTATCTCGGGGCACCAATTACAAATCTCACGCAACTGTTCATTAATCTTTTCAGTCTGTCGCGGAGCTTCACCGAGAGTCCATCATACACCACACAGCTGTAGTCAAAGTGGGGAAAGATGAGAGAGGAAACGAGGAGTCTATGCGTATGTTGAGGTAGGAGATGGCGGAAGCGATGGAATAGTTTGAGGGTAGAAATTGTCCGTCGGGAGATGTGAGAAATATGGTGATTCCAGGAGAGGGTTTGATCAATAAATAGTCCTAAATTTTTTACAGAGGAGTAGAATATACAAGGCTATATTTGAGTAATAATGACAAAATAACGACATATCCCTCGGAGACTTAGATCATCAATGCAAGACACCGAAACAGATTGTTAGCAGTAGAGATGGATTTTTGGAGAAGAGCAGCAAGAAACTCCAGAAGGGAAAGGATCAAAAATGAAAGAATTCTGGAAATGATGGAGGTAGAAAATTTTTTTTAGTAAATATTGAAAAGAAAAGGTTATGCTGGCTGGGACGTGTGGAAAGAATGATGCCTGAAAGATTGCTAAAGATGTGTATGGAGCTGGAAATAGAAGGGAGAAAAAAAAGGGAAGACCAAAGGTAAAATGGGAAGACGCAGTGGAAGAAAGCCTGGTCATGATCATGGCATCATAGAAGAAGAAGCCTTGGATAGAGAAGAATGGAAAAATATCTTAAAGAATATTTAGGTCAAGGACAACCACAGTAGTGGAAAAGTACTTAAAAACCAGCTTCTCCTCAAGATTTTATTCAATAATCAATAGAACTTGATTTATTGTACAATAGCCAAGCTAGGCTCTATTTGTATGGGGAACCCCCCCCCCCAAAACAAATAAAATATCTATCTATCTATCAATAGAACTTGAAACAGAGATAATAATGTAAACCAACAGAAATAATGAGGAGTTTTGCCTATGACCCAACTAGCAGACTTTTTTTTATGAAGATCCTGATTTTTTTTTCTTTGAGGTTCCTATTTACTTTTCATAAAAATAAATTTAAGAATACCTATCAGCACAGTATAAATAAAACATATCTCACCTGTTTTATAACAGTTGATCTGAAATTAGTTTCATCATCATGGTACAAAAAAAGGGAAGTTTCAACAAACCAGCATTTGGCAAGCAGATTAATTTTTTGATCTATTTTTTGAACACTAAAAAAAAAAAAAATTTTAAAAGCATATTTTTTATTAATTATTATTGTTGTATTAATCACAACAGGGATGACTGCATTTCAAGAATGGGGTTTGAGATTCTAGATTTCTTATAATAAAAAGAACGTTATTTGTGTAACACCTATAATTCTTATTTAAATCTTTAATCATATATATTAGTTTAAATAAAAGAAATTTGTCAATAGCAACAGCAGTTACAAATTTATAGTAGTTTCTCAGGAGAGTGTTTAATATAAAGTAATAAAAACTGAGACCGCCACCCTGGACCATCTACTTTACTTTATAAATAAAATAAAATACAGTTATACTATTTGGAGCATCAACATTCCTAGGAATGTTGATGCTCCAGATAGTATAACTGTATTTTATTTATACATAAATTTCAAAACATGACAAAGGAGCATATCAGACTTCAGTTATGAATCACTATGAAAATATGGGATTTTAACTTTTGAAGATGGGAATAATTTTAACGAAACGTCAACATGTAAATCAACAAATAAACCAATTGTTATATATTATTGTTTGAACCCACTTCACTTGGCTTATTCTGTGACAATTTGGGGCAAAAAAAAAAATTATTTTTGGATTGCTATGAAAATTCATATTTGAAGGTTTTTTCAGGTGCGAAAAACCAGTCTCAATTTGGTTTCTCCTGAAAAAAATATTCGAACCCACTTGTTTGCTTCTTCGATCAATATGTCAAATATAAATCAAAAAATACAATCAGAATATCTTACCAGACATGATTATTTTTCGATGATTTTTTTTTTTTTAAGCTTTCAAATAATCATAGGTTTAATGGACCAAAAATTGTTTACTCTTTTAGTAATTCGCAAATAAAATTCTGAATACATCATTACTTTTCTTTTTTAGCCTATTTTCAGGGAATTATGGAGTATATAAATTAAAAGAAGACTTAAGGCAAGTCTCATTAAAATCATTACAGCCGTTTTGGTATTTTAGTTTATAGTGAGTCATGTTTTTATATCACTATTTTCGAAAGGAAGGTATGGCCTATTTCCAGGATATTGAAATGTATATAAAAAAACTTCTGAATTTGATTGCAATATTGTATCAAAATTTCAAAGCAACCAGTGAAGAACCTTCTGAAATTAGCAGTTTCGAACCAAGGTCAGTAAAACTACCAGGTTCGCTCACTCAGAAATGCGTGGTGGGGGAACTTGGAACGTGACGTAAGGAATAGACTGTCTGACCTACCTATTACATTTTCAAGTCTATCAATCAAGGCTTATTTCAACATTATTGTGCTTTTTTTTTGGTTTTCTAGTTTAATTTATTGAGAAGAATACTTTTCTGTGTTTTTGACGTTTGATTGAAGATGATTTCAAGCAGATAAATAAATAAATACGGCTATCAATCTAGAATAAAATGTTATGAAAATTACAGGCCAGACCTGAAACGAAATTGACATTAAGATTATTTTTAAATTCTTTATTCCAAATCTCTGTAAATAATATAAAAATATATTACATAAATAGAAAAAACTAATATTTATATATATTTAGAGAACATTTTAGCACAATGTTTTTGTAATTTTTTTTGTAGGTCTCATGGGTATTTCTTTTAATATTATAACGATATTATAATAATATTATAAGGGTGAAGATCTTTGTCAGGATTTGCAGCAAAAATTTCTTTAAATAAATAAATTTAATTAAAAAAATAAACAAATTTTACTGCAAATCCTGATAATTTATTTTCACCTTATAATCTTAACAGTCAACTACTTATCCGTCACTAAAATAATATTATAACAAGTATTTTTTTTTTTTTACTTTTAATAACATGTTACAGTGAATTTGTTTGTTCTTATTAGTGTTTCTTGTATTTTTCATAATAATATAAATATTAATAGAATCCTATAGAATTTCACGTACAAAATGCGCAGTTTCATCTTGCAACAATAATATAATTGACACAAAAAAGATGGGAAGGAAAATTTCATTTCATACTTTTCCAAAGGACGCTCGAAGAAAAGATTGGATTTTAAAATGTAAATGTAAAAATATTGTAAAAAAAATTTACTATTTTTTTTCTTAGGAAACAAAATGTAGAAATTAATGAAGAAAGCCTTTCTTTCAGCAAAGGGTATTTAATAGAATCAAATTTTTAAATACCCAATGATTTTTACAACAATTAAGAAAACATAACATCAAAGCCAAAAAAAATTGAGAAAAATCACTACATAAGATTACTTATGACATAAAAATGTAATATTTACAAAAATTCACGGAAAGAAAACATTTCTTTAATGTTAGATTAAATACTTTTTTTTTTTTTTAATATTTCTATTATTTTATATTATGCTCTGTATTTATTTGAAATATTTAAAAAGTAGTATTGTGGTACTTTGCAAAAAATCATACAACAACTTGTTAAATTACATTTTATTTGCTTCAGAATAAACCAAATATCAAATCAACCTTTCTCTCACCTTTCAAATTTATTAAAATTAATAAGTTATTTGGCAATACCGTATTGATTTAATGTAAAAAAGTAAATAATAATCTTAAAATGTCCAGAAACAAAGGCCGGAGGGGTAAACTCAGTCTTTTGGCTACGTCAGAGCTCAATTCCTCGCCGCCATTTTCCCTCTGAGTGAGCGAACATGGTAGTTTTACTGACCTTGGTTTTTGAACAAGCTAACATTTACATTTTTATTTATATGCACCGTTTCCGTAATATCTTTCTTGATAACACTAAAGCTCGTCAATAGCTACAAAACAAAAAAAGAAGATCGGCTGAGAAAGAGGAGAAAAAAAGGACTGAACTGTTTTATCTTTGCCTCTTTATGAAATGATTTTGAATTCATATCTTTTTGTAATAGGTATGTAACAATGTTTGTTGTATCGATGTCTAACCCCAGCCCTGAAACTTAGGCCAGAACCTTGGGACAAAATAAAATAATTTATTTTTATTCATATTTCTCACTGGTGAAAGTAACCCCCAACTAACTTGACAACCATGTTATTTACGGTCAAATATTTTTTATTGGTATTGTAAAATGTTAACATACCAAAATAGTCAAGGAAGTAAACTATTGAATGAAACTGATTAACAATTAAATACAAATGTAATCATTACGTACGTAATTGTATTTGTTTCAATATTCTGCACTATTTTGACCGTTTTCTGATTTCTACGAGCAGAATGCATCGTCATGTTGCTAGGAGCACTAAGCACCGTCTCATCACTCTTTTTAAGTTGAATTTTCTTTTGATCGATATTCCATAATATTGTTGTTTGAGGGGATATACGTCCAACAACAGTCATCTTTGTCAAAAATAATGTTCCTTCTTTCTTTGGATAAAAAACAAAACAAAAATAAATAATGATGCTACATATAATAATAAATAAGATGAACTTATAACAATCCTCCTTACTTCGATAGGTAAATGTTCACCAGTGTCTAGGATAGATTCGATCTTGACACTACTATGGGGAGTTATGTATCCATTGTTAGGAGAAAAGGAAACCAAATCAAAATTTGAAAATTTAAACAACCATGTGTACTCAGATTGATTACAAATGGAAAATATGACTTTTTTATTCAAGTCATTTCCACAAAGGCCAAAGTTGATGTTATAGTTCGAAGAGATTTTCTGAAAATGAATTATTTAATTTTAATATAAATTATATTAACTAATCTACTAATCAGGTACGTAAAAGAACTTTCAATTTATATGAGTTGTTGAACATTAGGTTATAACTAGAGACTGGATTTCCATGTTATTGCACATTTTATCCGCTTATGTGTAAAAACTCTGAACCCGAATATCTATCCGTTTCAGGACCTGAACAATAACATATTTAAACTTTATATAGCACGAAATTGTGCCGTTTTGCCATTTTTTGCTTAAATTGCACAATTTTTATTTTTGTTGCATTAAATTGCACGTTTTTGTCATTTTGTGTTAGATTAAATGATTTATAAATATAAATATATATGTGTGAGTAATTATTTACTTTTTTATTTCACCATATTACAGGTATCTTTATTTTACCATATTATAGTAGTATGGTCGACTCTCGGGAGAACTCGAAGCCAAACTTAAACGTTTAATGAATTGATCAATCCGCTTAATCTTCGGGATCTCAAGGGATACGCATATCACCCAGTTCTACACCAAGTTTAAGTGGCTTTATCCGTCCTACCGCCATCAATATTTTCTGGCTACCTTCCTATACCGAGCCATTACAACACGGCAACCTGCCTATATTCTATAGATCCTAAAATTCAAACGCTCCTTTCAATCCCGTCCCACCAGATCCTGTGCGTCTGACCTCTATCCTTCCCCTCACCGAACTGCTGCATTTGATAAATCCTTTTTAATACAAGTTGTCTCCCTCTGGAACTCTATACCTTCAGATATTCGACACGCAAAATCGATATCCTCATTCAAATCTCTCCTCTTCGAACACCTACTCCATTCCCAATCCGATTGAGCACGAAATGCACTTGAAAACCTCAAAGTACATCCAGGTACTCTGATGTTTTTGTAATTCATCGATATTTCGTTCACTTAATTAATTTCTTTGTATATTTTATATTGATACGTATTTATATCTTTTCATCATTTATAACTTTATCGTACTCCGAATCAACCTGTAAATATTAAATAGTATTTCATGGACACACCAAAATATTGATATATATGCTGTATTTGTGACTTGTTCTAAAGGGACACTAGTCCCAGAATAATAAAATTATTTTCATTTCATTTCATATTGTCCATTTTAAATTTATAATTTTAGAAAGAAAAATATGAGAAAGATAAATTATTGTGACTGGCAAAGATTTGACTTTAAAGTGACAAAAATACGATGTAAACACAAGTGCAGACTGACTATTATTGGAATAGAACATGCCTGAAGAAATTAAAATAAAAACAACTGCATGTCTTGTTTTGACTTGAATTCTCACTTTTTCTTAAGTCTTTCAGTATCAGTTTCGGCTTTAAAGTGAATCGTAGACTACCAAGGTTTCAGCATCAATTATATCCGATTTAACATTCATAAAGACAAATTTGTCACTTAAGAAACAAATTGAAATTATAGAAACTGTAGGAGAAAATATTTAAGAAATCAACAGGAATAGGAAAAAAATTAAGTTAAATTTCTTTATTGAGTATTATAACAATCTGTCTCTTGGACATTGGTTATAGTGAGGTAGGATGACATACACACTATATGTACAAAAAAAATAAAATAAATAGAAACAAAATAATAATCAAAAGTTGAAAAAAATTAACCTCAAAATTTTACTCCGTAAAAGAAAAAAATCTGGTGTGCGCATCACATGACTTTCACTTACCACCCTCTTAGCAGAAATAAGTATTTTCAGACAAAGGGGAAGTGAAAGTAAAAATTATTGGCAATATATGGAATGATCTTTGATCAAACGCTTTCTAAGTATTTCCTGGCATCCTTCCTCTTTCAGGTCATCCAATCTCACCGTCCTTCATACATCTCCAAGCTCCTTGAATTTAAATCTTCTGTTTGTTCCCGCAATACTCGTTCCCGGTCTTCTGATTTATACATAAGCGCCCACCGAACTGCTGCTTTCGACAGATCTTTCATTATCCGCTCCTCATCCCTATGGAACTCCATCCCTCCCGACATCCATCAATCCAAATCTCATACTACCTTTAAAACCCGCCTGTTCAATCATTTCTTATCCATCCAGTCCCCATGAAATTGTAAATAGTACTATAAATTATCAGATTGTTCCTCATTATTCTTACTTTATGTTTATTTTCAATTTTTCATTTTTTATATTATTAAATGATTTAAATTAGAAAGTAACTTATAATTTTTTTTATTATTTTTTTTTAACTTGACTATTCACTTACACTATATTTTTGTTTATGTATCTCTGAGGCTCCTTAACCCACATTTTTGTCATTCTGTATTATTCTAAAGGGACTCGTTCTAGAATAAATAAAGAATTATTATTATTATTATTATATTTATTTACAATTCATTGTGGGTATTTTTATTTGTTTAAATACTCTTATATATACAAATTTTAATTTTTAGATCACTGTATTATATGCAATTAAATATTAAATAAAACCAACGAATGCATTTATGAAAATCGCATATGTATTATTATTATTTTTGATTGACTTATAGCACCGCGTCCCTTGAAGGATCTATTGTGCGTCATGATGTTGTTCGTTTTATTCTTTAAACGTTCTATTTGTCACTTCCGTGTATATTAACAGGCTTGTTGGATTGACTGTATATTAGCTACTGGGGCAATCCACCCGTTTTTCTCCAAATAGCTCCAGTCTAAGCCTTGAAAATCTATCACATCGACAGATGATGTGAAAGGCTGTTTCATTCTCCTCCTGACAGAATCTGCATAGTGGATTCGTCGTCACTCGGATATTGAACATGTGGTAGTTTAACTTATAGTGGCCTGTGTAGATCGCTGTAAGCTTTTTAAGAACTGCTCTTACCATACTCAGTAGCAGTTTACTTCTTTTATCACATGGACCTTTAAGGAACAGCTTCGAATGTCCTTTCTTCTCAGTCCAGTGTTGTTTAAATATGTTACCATAAATCTCCCTAATCCTACTTTTTGCAGTACAAGACTGATTCCGCAGACAAGTTCAGGAGTTCTGGGAATAGTATCTGGACCTAACCCGGCTAGTTTTTCTGCTTCTTCGTTGCCTAGAATGCCTGAGTGACAAGGCACCCACTGTATTGCAACTCTGTTAAGCTCAGTTAGATTGTTAATTACTATATTGCATTCTTTAACAACCTTTCGAGTGTACATAATAATTGGTTAGAGCACTTATTGCTGCCTGACTGTCAGTATAGATTGTAATATTTTTCCCAGTCACATTGCTACGCAGTAGGTTTTGAACGCAATGGCAAATTGCTATTATCTCGTATTGAAATACCGAAGCGTATTTGACAAGAGATACTGAATCCTTTTCTTTTTTATCTTTACGATAGATGCTTACTCCTGAGCCATAGGCTGTTAGAGAGCCATCTGTATAACAATTGAGACCATTTTTTGGTTTGTGTTGTCTGCTGATTTCTATCTCGACCCCATATTTGAAGGTCCAGTTACTCACGGATTAGGGTATCGGAGTGAAATGATGTAGAAGAACTTGAACGATTAAAGCTAGATAGATAGATAGATAGTTTATTTTATTTGTCTAAGGAAATTCCTGTACAAATAAATATAATGGTATAATTAACAATGTGATTTTGAGTCTAGTATTGCATTCAAACATAACGTTAATAATGTGCACAGCATTAAGTATGACTAATATAATATAATATAATAACAGATTAGTAAACGATATATATATATATATACATAACAATTAGTAAAACATTTTTTATTTTTTTTTTTATTTATTATTATTATTTTTTTTTTTAAATATTCGAGAGGTATAAGACAAATGACAGTATAAATAAGCATTAATATATGTTATATGATTAACTTTACCACTTAACAGTTCAATGAACAGCCCTGTATGAAATAATACAGTTGGTTTATTTTTTTCGTAGTGTCTATTTTCAGTATCTCCTCCACACTAGCATCTTCTCTGGATTCAGTGATAAATGTCTTCAAGTACTTATTTCTTGGCTCGTTGAACTTGATACATTGGATCAGAAAATGAGTTACCGGGTCAGTTACAAGGCAGTTGCATGCACCACATACCTCACTGGATTTAATAATCAAAGTAGCATCTTTTAAGTATATTTTCATAAAATCTTTACTTGCTACTCTGAGACGACTAACGGCTCTTAATTTGTTTAAATTCAAAGCCCTGAACTGAAGATAATCCTCTGGTCTGGTAACATTAAAGGAGCAGATTTTTCTATATCTTGGGTTTGATTTAGAGTTTAACACTCTATCGATGTCCTTGGATGAGTGATGGTTTCTTATTTTTTCCATGATTTCATCTTTGAACCTCATCAGACCTTGAGAGAAAACACAAGAAAACATCCCCTGACATCCCAGTTCCGCCACAATCATCTTTACTTGGGTAACCCAGTTATAAGTTGGATCAGGTTTTCCAATGGATGAGTCTAGAGCTCTAAGCCTATTAAAGCATTGTCTAGGTAGTCTTTTGTCACTCATTAAGCTTAGCTTTGTCCAATAGTTGATCACTTTTTTCAACACTTCAACACTTAATGGAGATCTCCCACTTTCAAGGCGAACCACATAGTTCGGTGTATTTCTTGGCCAATGGAGCAATGATTTGATGAATCGAACTTGCGTCCTCTCCAAAACCTCCAGGTATCTCGTCCCCCAGATCTCTGCAGCATAGAGCAGTGTTGACGAGACCATCGAGTCAAAGAGGCTGGTTTTTGTCTCCCAAGAGTCGCTTTTCCCATTTCTTAGGTTTGCCATCACTTTGGTCACTGCAACAGATGATCTATGTAAGAAATGCTCAGCGGCTCTCTCGAATTTTCCAGAAGAAGAAAAGGGTACACCCAGATATGTATACTCCAAACTTGTGTCTCGCCAAGCCAAAGTCTTAAGTTTCTTCATCTTTGGAGATTTATGGAACACCAACACCTTAGACTTAGATGGATTTAGGGTCAAAGATTTGCTTTTACAGTATTCGCTCAG